TTCTAATCCCAGCCCATATAAGGTATGAGTCCATCCTATACATTCTAATCCCAGCCCATATAAGGTATGAGTGCATCCTATACATTCTAATCCCAGCCCATATACGGTATGAGTCCATCCTATACATTCTAATCCCAGCCCATATAAGGTATGAGTCCCATCCTGTACATTCTAATCCCAGCCCATATAAGGTATGAGTCCATCCTATACATTCTAATCCCAGCCCATATAAAGTATGAGTCCATCCTATACATTCTAAAGACAGTCCTTATAAGGTATGAGTCCATCCTGTACATTCTAAACACAGCCCATATAAGGTATGAGTCCACCCTGTACATTCTAATGACAGCCTTTATAAGGTATGAGTCCATCCTATACATTCTAATCACAGCCCATATAAGGTATGAGTCCATCCTGTACATTCTAATCCCAGCCCATATAAGGTATGAGTCCATCCTGTACATTCTAATCACAGCCCATATAAGGTATGAGTCCATCCTGTACATTCTAAAGACAGCCCGTATAAGGTATGAGTCCATCCTGTACATTTTAATCACAGCCCATATAAGGTATGAGTCCATCCTATACATTTTAATCCCAGCCCATATAAGGTATGAGTCCATCCTATACATTTTAATCACAGCCCATATAAGGTATGAGTCCATCCTATACATTCTAATCACAGCCCATATAAGGTATGAGTCCATCCTATACATTCTAATCACAGCCCATATAAGGTATGAGTCCATCCTGTACATTCTAATCACAGCCCATATAAGGTATGAGTCCATCCTGTACATTCTAATCACAGCCCTTATAAGGTATGAGTCCATCCTGTACATTCTAATCCCAGCCCATATAAGGTATGAGTCCATCCTATACATTCTAATCCCAGCCCATATAAGGTATGAGTCCATCCTATACATTCTAAAGACAGTCCTTATAAGGTATGAGTCCATCCTGTACATTCTAAAGACAGCCCTTATAAGGTATGAGTCCACCCTATACATTCTAATCCCAGCCCATATAAGGTATGAGTCCATCCTCTACATTCTAATGACAGCCCTCATAAGGTATGAGTCCATCCTATACATTCTAATGACAGCCCTTATAAGGTATGAGTCCATCCTATACATTCTAATGACAGCCCTTATATGGTATGAGTCCATCCTATACATTCTAATTGTCCTTCTTCTGGTACCTCCTCAGGTGTTGAGTACATTTCTCCTCTTCTCAGTCATTTCCATCATGTGTTCCTTGTTCTCTATCGCAGAGTGCAAGGCGTCTCAGATGAAGTGTAGAAATGGCCGCTGCAAACCCAAGTTCTGGGAGTGTGACGGGTTCGATGACTGTGGAGACGGCAGCGACGAGGAAAACTGTGGTGGGTGGAACCGCTGAGATGTATCCACGCATTCACCCGCATCCAAACTATGAGAACATTCCTCTGTCTGCAGGGAAATGCAAAGCAGGAGAGTTTCTCTGCAGAAACGGCCGCTGCGTCCCACAAAAGTCAAAGTGCAACGGGAAAGACGACTGCTCAGACGGGTCGGACGAGTCCAGATGTGAGAAGTGTAAGTTGAAGAAACGTCTCTGCTGTGATCGGCTCCTGGGCTCCACTTCTTCTTCTGTGGTTTCTCAATGCGTGATGACTGTTCAGTCACACATATGTGGAAGTGTGAATTTGTATGTCAGGTTGATTATCTTCCTCCGTTTTAAAATGTTGGGATATTTAGCTAAGAGACTCTCTACTGATCAACTATCATAATCAATGGGCTCTGCTTCATGACGTCACCATGACTACGGCCACATATACAGTTCAGTCTGTGGTCGTAACCGTCTCCATAATCGATGACATCACAATGGCATCATCACAGGACGTTAGTGTAAGACTGATGGAGAGACTCTTTGATACAGAGTCTTCAGTGTAGGTAGTGATAGTAGTAGTAGTAGTACTTATACTGTGTCCTTTCCTTTCAGCCCTGGTGTTGCAGCAGTGTAGGTAGTGGTGGTGGTAGTAGTAGTAGTACTTATACTGTGTCCTTTCCTTCAGCCCTGGTGTTGCAGCAGTGCTCTGAGTTCACCTTCCGCTGCAGGAACGGACGCTGCATCAGCAAACTGAACCCTGAGTGTGACGGGGAGCTGGACTGTGAGGACGGGTCCGATGAGAAGGACTGCAGTACGTCGCCCCCCCAGACACACAGACAGACTCTGACCTGTGTGACCTGCTAGTCATTCCTGTGTCTGTACCTCTGCTTTCAGCGTGCGGGATGAGGCCGTACCAGAGCTCCCGCATCGTGGGGGGGGAGGCGTCCCGGGAGGGCGAGTGGCCGTGGCAGGTCAGCCTCCACGTGGCCGGCACGGGTCACGTGTGTGGCGGGTCGGTGCTTAGCAACCGTTGGCTGCTGACCGCCGCTCACTGCGTCCAGGACAACGGGCCGAACAAGTAGGTTCATGGAGCCAGTTTCAGGGGGGTTCTCTGCTGGTTTTTCTATGATCTGCTCTATGAAATATAACCATCATGACTAGAAGTGGAACTCTTTAGTGCAGAACCACTGACTCACAGTGTAAGACTGGTACCTTTCTGTGAGAGGGAGACCTCTTTAGACACAACTAACAGAAGGGGCTTTAACCATCTGAGCATGTCAGTGGTAAGGAGAAGCTCATTTGGAGGACGTAAATGATGTAGCAACAGCCCGTTGAGTTAAAACGCTGTCGCCCTGGTGACACACAAACACGAGGAAATAAGAGTTCATGTAACCAAGGTTACCCTTTTAAGCCCTGAGTGACTACCTGGACCTTTGACCTGTGTGTGTGACGACCCAGGTACTCCCAGGCCGACCAATGGGAGGCCCTGCTGGGTCTGCACATGCAGAGTCAGACCAACGAGTGGACGGTGAGGAGGAAGGTGAGGCGGATCATCGCCCACCCGGACTACAACTCCTTCACCTACGACAACGACTTGGCCGTGATGGAGCTGGACGCCAGCGTCACCCTCAACCAGAACATCTGGCCCATCTGTCTGCCCTCCGCCACCTACGACTTCCCAGCAGGCCAAGAAGCATGGATCACGGGCTGGGGGGCCACGAGGGAGGGAGGTGAGTCAGCTCACAGAAAGCAACGTGCTTCATGTTTCAGAGATGGCGTCCACTAACTACAGGCCACGCCCACTCGTTTGATCGACATGGAATGCAGAGCCGAAAGTTTTTCATGATAACTTTCATAACATTGATGTTTTCAAAAGTAAAGTAACCCAATGAAGCACTTTAATAATACATTTCCTCAAAAGAGTTTTTAAAGTTGAACAAATGATACAGAACAAGTTCTGCATCAGCCTCCAATCATCAATATATCATTAGAGATTAAACGGTATTGTTCAAACGACTGTTTTATTTACAGTAGAAATGAATTTGAGGAGAATCATCTGATGGTGTCGTCCGCAGGCCTGGCTGCCAGCGTCCTGCAGAAGGCGGAGGTTAGAATCATCAACAGCACAGTGTGCAAGAGTCTGATGGACGACCCAGAGTAACTGACACAGGAATGCTTGTGGGCCCGAGCGTTCTTCATAAGGAGGGCGGTGGACGCCTGGTCAGAGTAACCCTGGTCCACACCACCAAACACTACATCAGGGATGCCCGTACCCCCGCGGACTTCACGCGAACACAATCATAAGGCAGGGGGAGGTTTTAGGGGCGGGGCCTCCGCGCTGATTGACAGGTTCTCTAATAAAGCAGAGGAGGCCTTAGGGCGGGGGCTACGCGCTGATTGACAGGTCTCTATTAAAGCAAGAGGAGGTTTTAGGGCGAAGGCTACAACGCTGATTGACAGGTCTCTAATAAAGCAGGGGAGGCTTTAGGGCGGAGCTACACGCTGATGGACAGGTCTCTAATAAAGCAGGGGAGGCTTTAGGGCGGGGCTACACGCTGATGGACAGGTCTCTAATAAAGCAGGGGAGGCTTTAGGGCGGGGCTATGCGCTGATTGACAGGTCTCTAAAAAGCAGGGGAGGCTTTAGGGCGGGGCTACACGCTGATTGACAGGTCTCTAATAAAGCAGGGGAGGCTTTAGGGCGGGGCTATACGCTGATTGACAGGTCTCTGTTTGCCAAAAGTCAACAGCAAAAACACAGATGGATCTAGCCAGAAACCAAGATGGCGGCGACCATGAAGCAGAACCCAGAACAGAAGTCCAGAAGTCTGTGTGTGACTACGTCCACTTCTTCTGCGTTGAGAGAACATTCAGATACTGTGATACCTGGAGTACTTTGAGTAGCTCACGCCACCTCCACCTTAACGTGAGAGGGCAGCCGTTAGAACTAGAAATTGGACGTCTCGTTGGGACACTTCCTGTCTCGTTGGGACACTTCCTGTCTCGGAGCCCAACCTGACCCTCTCGTCTCCGACTCACACAGGGCGACTCTGGCGGCCCGTTGTCCGTCACGGCCCCTGGGGGGCGGGTATACCTGGCTGGCGTGGTAAGCTGGGGCGACGGCTGCGGCCGCAGGAACAGACCCGGCGTGTACACCCGCATCACCGAGTACCGCGGCTGGATCACGGAGCAGACGGGCGTCTAAAGTGTGGGTCGCCCAGGCGAGGAAACAAGGAAACCACAGTAATGCTGTATGATAAGAAGTGGCCTAATGAAAAGTAACACAATCAACCCCAATGAGTTCTTAACATTTTAAACATTTACAGCTTGTATTTTAACACAACGGCTAATTGGTCAATTAGTACCATTTATTTTATAACCTTTGATGAAACTACTGGTTTAAATCGGCCAAAGGAATCGATCCTTAAATGACTTCATATGGTTCAGTTAATACTCACAAAGCGTGCGTGAACATTCTGTCCAGCAGCAGAAGACGAAGATGAATTACTTTATAGGAGTAAATAGTTCATAAGTAAAACACTTAATGACCATTCTGTAAATATTGCTATATACATATATATAGAGAGAGAGAGAAAATATATATTTTGTGGTCCCAAAATGTAATTGTCATTGAGGCGGATGGGTTTCCCAACTGATTCTACAGCTTTCTTCTGTGTTTGAAGTTTGAGAATCTGTTTTGTTCTCATTTCTCAGTCACGTATTAATGTTTAAACTCTTTTCTGCTGAATTGAATTAGTTGTCTTTGCTTCTACACAGTTACATTGTTGGTTTGGGTTGCAACATAATTAAAGATATGAGAACACATGTGTTTGTTGTCCATGCGAGTTGAGTCAATCCGAAGAGGAACCTGTTTTTATTTTGGATTCATGTCTTGTTGGGTGTTGTTGATGTTCTGTGTCGTCTTTCCCTTGATGGAGGACGTCATGAAGTCACAGGAAGTGAATGAATGAGCATTAATATTAGAGAATCCCACTGCTCATGTCTCTGATTAACTTGATAGTACAAATACGGTGACCTCGATGCAGGTCCATCATGTCCACTGACCTTCTCGTCTCGATGGAGTAGTGAGGAGCTTTTGGTAAAGCGATGGATGTGAAGCACTCGAGTGTCTCGCCTTCAGTTCATGTCTGAACACCTCAGAGGAACGCGGCTTCTTTCCTTCACAACAAGGTGTGGTGCTGCTTCCTGTTGACACCATGAGAGGTCTGGAGCACAGATGAAGAAACCCTTTCTGGACTCTCGGGACACTCGGCACCTTTCTGATGGTCGTTGTGGTCTTTCTTTACAGCGCTCGTCGTTTTACAGCGACAACACCATCCTGTAGATACTCGCTCTACAGCATCAGGAGAACACGTCCTCTTCTCACTCAGAAGGTACTGATTCAGGCTCTTGTCATCTCCCTCCTGGACTACTGTAACTCTCTCCTGCAGGTCTCCTGCTACCACCATTCCACCTCTGCAGCTCATCCACAATGCAGCAGCTCCACTGGTCTTTAACCTTCCTAAGTTCTCCCTCACTCCTCCACTCCTCCGCTCTCTTCACTGGTACCGGTGGCTCATCCAGTTCTAAACATGGTGCTCAGGTACCGTGCTGTGAATGGATGGGGTCCAGCTTCCATCCAGGACCTGGTCCAACCCGACATCCCGCCCCGCACTCTCCGCTCTGCATGTGATAAACTGCTTGTTCCTCCTCACTGAGAGCAAAACACTCGACTAGATCTCCACTCTTTGCTGTCCTGCTCCTAAATGGTGGAAGGAGGTCTCTGAAGACATCAGGACCACAGAGAGCCTTCACATCTTCAGACTAAAGACACACCTCTTCAGACTCTACCTCCACTAACACACTAACTAACTGTAGCACTTACATTGGACTTATAATGGTTCTTATCTACAGCAAGTTGTACATCGGCTTATTTGATGAAATCACACTTTCTTGTTTCTTGTTCTTCTGAGTTTGTGTCCATATGGTTGAAATGCACTAAGCTAAATGAATGTAATATAATCTAATGTATCCCACTATCAAGTCCTGTACTATCCCATAGTGTCCCTACGTTACCATGACAACTCTCCCCGTGTGATTAGCAGATGAAGCTAAGCACCATGTTAGCAGTGAGTCCTTGGAGGACCATCTTCCATCTCAGAATGTGATTACGAGGGAAACCAGTCAGAGAGCGACACATCTGAGCTTTCCAGTCGTTTCGCCTTTTATTGATCACCGGGGAAATTTACAAATCGGCTCATCACACAGAGTCCAAACAGGAAGTAGTAAGAGACAGGAGGAATGAAGACAAGGAGCTGAAGATAAAACCAAGCGATAAAAAGTATTGTGTACTTTGTTGACTAAGACAAAGCTAAAAATGAATTATAACAAATACATTCAGCTTTAAACCATTAAAAGAAGCAAAAACACTAAATGTAAAATAAACGAACATGACGCAATGAGATCGTCCTTCCTCTTTGTCCGTAGCATTTAAGTTCAACGACTAAATCACAATAGTAGAAGACGTCTCTATGGCAACGGCTAATGGTGCTAGCGAGTTAGCCTCCCCGATGGAGTCCCAGTAGGACCGATCGTCCCACAGCCGGGGGGGCAATGGTTTATACAGCCCCACTGTGAAACACACACAAATACACACAAACACCGTGTTAGAGCCGGTGGCGTGTGGTCTACAGGGGACCATAACCTTGTGTGTGTGTGTGTGTGTGTGTGTGTGTGTGTGTGTGTGTGTGTGTGTGTGTGTGTGTGTGTGTGTGGTAATGACTGAGTGGGTGGGTGCAGTAAAAAGGAAGTGGCGGAGAAGAAGACAGAAGTGAAGACAAGACGACAGAAAGCAACAGATGAGAGTAAAGGACGAAGCAACGAGAGACATGTACTAACGAGGAGGACAGACGGAGACACGAGGACGTGAGGAAGACGGGGAAACGAAGAATCGGTCACCTGACAGAGAACTTTGTATCAAGAGAAAGCTTTTTGTGAGGTGAACATTTATATTTATGTTATTACTGAATCTCTTTTTCTCATTGTCCCTCGTCTTGTCTTCATTGTCCCTCGTCTTGTCTTCATTGTCTCTTGTCTTGTTTTCATTGTCTCTAAACTTGTTTTCATTGATTGATTGATTGTCCCTAAACTTGTTTTCATTGTCTCTCGTCTTGTCTTCATTGTCTCTTGTCTTCATATTCCTTCGCCTTGTCTTCATTGTCTATGGTCTTCATTGTCCCGAAACCTGTTTTCATTGTCTCTCGTCTTGTCTTCATTGTCTCGTGTCTTATTTTCACTGTCTCTAGTCTTCATCGTGTCTCATCTTGTCTTTATTGTCTCCTGTCTTGTGTTCATTGTCTCTTGTTTTCATATTCCCTCGTCTTATCTTCATTGTCTCTTGTCATTTTTTCAGTGTCTCTAGTCTTCATTGTGTCTCATGTTGTCTTTGTTGTATCTTGTCTTCATTGTCTCTCATCTTGTCTTCATTGTCTCTCATCTTGTCTTCATTGTCTCTTGTCTTGTTTTCAGTTCAGTCACCAGGGGTCCATTTCAAGAAGCAGGTTTAGTGGAGTTTGTTCACCCTGAGATGAAGAAAACTCTGGCTTGTTTCACAAAGGGAGGCAACTAAAGCTCAGGCTCAGTCACCATGGTAACTAAAGCTCAGGCTCAGTCACCATGGTAACTAAAGCTCAGGCTCAGTCACCATGGTAACTAAAGCTCAGGCTCAGTCACCATGGTAACTAAAGCTCAGGCTCAGTCACCGTGTTAACTAAAGCTCAGGCTCAGTCACCATGGTAACTAAAGCTCAGGCTCAGTCACCGTGGTAACTAAAGCTCAGGATCAGTCACCATGGTAACTAAAGCTCAGGCTCAGTCACCATGGTAACTAAAGCTCAGGATCAGTCTCCATGGTAACTAAAGCTCAGGCTCAGTCACCATGTTAACTAAAGCTCAGGCTCAGTCTCCATGGTAACTAAAGCTCAGGCTCAGTCTCCATGTTAACTAAAGCTCAGGCTCAGTCTCCATGGTAACTAAAGCTCAGGCTCAGTCACCATGTTAACTAAAGCTCAGGCTCAGTCTCCATGGTAACTAAAGCTTAGGCTCAGTCACCATGTTAACTGAGCCGGTGAACATCACCTGGTTTTCTTTCTCCTTCCACAGGCTCCTCCCTCTGACAGCAGCCCAGCCAATCACACAGCGTGCTTTACTTTCCTCATTCATTCATTCACTCTGTATCAGTTTACACATATGAACTAAATAAGATGTTACGTTAAAGACTAAAGTGTTTTCTGGAAGACGTCACGTCCTTTTCTGGACGATCCTGTTGATGAAGAAGCGCTTTTACTTCTCAGGCTGTTAAACACGTCAGGAGAGAATATTGAGGCCGATTAGATATATTCTCATTTCCAGATGACTACTTGTTTGAACGCTATCGTTTTTCTTCACCGTCCATCAAATATGTCCATGACCTCAGCCGTCCTCATAGAAGTAACGTCCCCATGGTGGACGTGCTCTCACATACGAGCACATTCTTTGTGTAGTATCACGTGTTTTCCTTTACAACATTAGAATATCAGTAAAGCTGCTGCATGCAGAGCCGTGACATTACAGGTCCAACACCATCGAACCAGCTTATACCAGCGATATTATTCTAAATATGAGCATGTGTGTGTATTTCCAGCCTGTGTGTAGTGTATTCTAACAAACAGAGGGAAGTAGTAAAACATATTATTATTGAGTCAACCTACTCCAACTCTAAACAGCTGTTCTGAAACCAGAAACTCAGAGTTTGTTACTTGAAACGGAGCCCAGACCTTCAAGTTCAACGGATAGTCTGTCAACGTTTGTGACTGATTGGGTCGTCGTGGTAGAGAGGGAGCTGGGAACCGCAAGGTTGGTGGTTTGAGCCCCGGCTGCCCCATGTCCCATGTCCAAGTGTCCCTGAGCAAGACACCTGACCCCTTATTTTAGCCCCCCGGGCTTAAATGTAAAAAGCCATGGATTAATAATGTAATGTAAGTCGCTTTGGATAAAAGCTGTAATGTCAACCAGCTTAATGTATAGTTCATGTCTGGCATGTGTGTACATGGTGATGGTTATAATATCCAGCTAGCGATTGATGCGAACACGCTAATGACGCTAGCATGCTGGCTAGGCTAGTGTTTAGCAGGTTAACTTATCAGTGGAGGAGCTACCAATAGAAAGGAGGAGATTGGGAGCTTGTATGTTCATGAGAACCTTGCAAGAGACGTCTGACCATCTAATGTTGCACCGTGTAAACCTTATAAATGAACACGTAATCACTTTAGGAAGCGTGTATTTTAGACTTGTTAAACACGGACTGCACACGTGATGACGTTGGAGGTGGAACATGTTGAACTAGCGACTCTTTCTGTTGTGCACTTTGATCTCAACTCTCCAATATTTGACGTGTTTGGAGTGCAGCTAGCTTAGCCTGGTAGCTAGTTTAGCCTAGCAGCTAGCTAGCCAGTCCTAAAGTGGTCCATTTGCCACTCGTCCCCCTTCTGTTTGACTCGTGGAGGAATTCCTCTGCACAGTTCTTCTGTTTGTTTTACTTCCAATGCAAAAAGCTGTCTGATCTTCATCTACCGTCTCGCTCTCTGCATCTAACTGACTGCAGCACGCGGCGCCTTCAGGGGTCAGGGGTCAGCGCACACTGGAAGGAAACACCGCTGCATTAACGTTCCAATATTTTTATCCCATTAGTCTCCGCCATGATCAACGCGTTAACTTTGACAGCCTTAACATATATAATAGACACAACAACTGCTGGATAACCTGCGTGTGTGTGTGTGTGTGTGTGTGTGCATGTGTGTGTGTGTGCGTGTGAGTGTGTGTGCGTGTGTGTGTGTGTGTGTGTGCGTGTGAGTGTGTGTGTGTGTGTGTGAGTGAGTGTGTGAGTGTGAGTGTGTGTGTGTGTGTGTGTGTGTGTGTGTGAGTGTGTGTGTGTGCGTGCGGGGGCGAGCTGACTTCCTGCTGTGAGGAAACTCTTCTGATGAAGAAACGTTTCAGATGAGAAGTGATGTTGAAACTCACTCTCACACCGTTGGTTTTTCCGTGACATCAAAAATTGAGTCTTGAAGTCGGACTTCTTTACTGAAGCAGGGGATACTTTAGGGCGGGGCTACACGCTGATTGACAGGTCTCTAGCGGAGAAGTAGGTAGCGGCTCTACGTCCTCCTCAGTGCAGATATGGTTGCCAACTGTTGCCTTTTAAAATCTTACTAATGAGTAGAAGATGTCGTCGCCTGCAGCACTTCATAAGGAGAAGAAGTGAGAGGGGTGTAGATCTGATCGAGCACCTAGTGGTCATTGGAGAAACTGCAGCCTCACTGTGGACGTTGACCCTCAGCTGTGCTTGATGCTGATTGATTAGACTTTGATGACGTAATATAATGATGGACTGACATTATTTGCCTTCTCTCTCCTGCAGCATGTTGGCGTGATGACCAGCTCTGGACTACTGTAACACACACACACACACACACACACACACACACACACACACACACACACAGACACACAGACACACACACAGAAACACACTGTCAGCATGTCGGCAGCTCGCTTAGCCTCCCCTCTTCCTGAGGACCCGACCAGCCCCCCTCCAGTGACCACACCCCCTCCAGTAACCACACCCCCACCAGTGACCACACCCCCACGCAAAGCCTCAGTCCGCCTGCAGGAGAGGTGTGCACTAAACGCACACACAGACACACACACCATGTAACTTCTAGGAAATGACAGATGTCTAATAACGCTTTTAAATGTGTGTGTTTGTTGTTCATAAGTTCAAACAATCATTCCATTCCTGATTGGCTCTTCTTTTGAAGGCGGGGCTCCAACCTCTCGCTGCTATTGGACGTCAGCAGCCTCGGGGCGGAGCCTGTGTGTGCCGTCTCCACCCCGAAGGAGGTGTGGCTCCACCTGCTCCACACCTCCACCCGACCGCTCAGCCACGCGATGCTGCAGCGGGCCGCCAAGGACACGAGCGCCCTGAATGCAGAGTATCAGGTAACATCTTCATCCTCGTCTTCCTCTTCACCTGAGCTCCGCGTGAGGAGACGTGTGTTCGTTTTGACCCCTCTCCTTCGCTCCCACAGAAGATCCCCCCAAACTTTGCAAGCGCCGCGGAGCTGGACGTCTCGGGTCACATGATCAAAGACCGATACAAGACCATCCTGCCCAGTGAGTGAGGAGCAGGAACCAGCAGGAACCAGCAGGAACCAGCAGGAACCAGCAGAAGCTCTAACGCCTGTTTACCTTTGTGGTTTGTTCAGACCCTGAGAGCCGGGTGGTCCTGAGGAGCCATGGGGAGGAGGCGGGGCCAGACCGCTACATCAACGCCAACTACATCAGGGTCAGAGTCTGTTCTGTAGTGTCACACTGATGATGATGATGATGATGATGATGGGACGCCATGTTGGAGCTTTGGAGCCGGTTGTTTCTCTTCCTCTCAGATCTAATAAGCTTTCACCACATTGGATCAAATCAATACGTTAGATAATAATAATTACATTTATTTATTTTATTTTATTTAAAACCTAATCTATTAAAAACAAAAATACTTTTATACCAACAAATAAACAAGTCATCACTAATGTGGAGTCTAAATACTCATACTGTAAAAGTATGTGAGGGCGCCATAATGCAACTAGTAGAGACCTGGAGACTGGACACAGTCAGTGTAGCTTAGCTTAGCATAAAGACGAAAAAAGGTTACAAAATACAAGTACAAACTAATACTCACTGATTAACATATTGTACCTTGTTTGTTTGTCAATCTGCATTTAGCCCCGCCCTAAAGCACACCCTGCTCTATGCTCTATTAGAGACCTGTCAATCAACCTGTCAATCAGAGACCTGTGTGTGTGTGTGTCCGTGTATATGTGTGTGTGTTTGTGTGTCGGACAGTTAAACAGAAACTGAGATATGCGACGTCGGTTTGTCAGTGTGGGAGTTTGACAACCAGCAAAACCACAGCAAGTAAGAGAGGAAGTGACACGCTCCCCCACCTACGCATCCCTCACCCTGCTGACGTGTGCGTGCGTGCGTGCGTGTGCGTGCGTGCGTGCGTGCGTGCGTGCGTGCGTGCGTGCGTGTGTGTGTGTGCGCGTGCGTACAGAAGTAACCCACAGATCGTCCTGATATGTAACACCGTCACATACGAGTCTTTTATGCAGTTTATTGATTTCAAAAACCAACGGATGTGTTCATTATTTAATTGTGTCATTATTTGAAGGTGACACATCTACAAGGAGACTTATAAGTGGACTCATTGCCGCTGAGCATGCTGGGAAGTCACTCCCAATATGTTCATGATGTATTCCGTTGTCCTCAAATGGGAGGAGCAGCGATAACTATGTTTCTGTCCTCATCTCATGGATCCTCTGTCACAGCGATTACAACATATGTTGAACGTTTTGTTTTAGCGGGCGCTGCTATAGGCTGGTGATACGGCCTTTGACCTCCTGTGACTGCGCCTGATGCGCTGCAGCAACACCAAAGGACATTTAAACAATTATGTCTTCTTTTCTTTTCTGGTTTGTTTAACAATAAGTACCAAGCAACAAGTGAACACCAACTTCTGATGCTTTTCTATTTGGAGGCTGCGAGTCAGAAACTGGAGCCGTCCGTCCTGCGTGGTGATAAACAATAGGACGCCTAAATAGGGACCAAAGGAAAGGGAAGAGTTTTAGCCGCAACATTGGTTGGTTGTTTGATTGACTGGTCTGTTTATTGATTGATTGATTGATTGGTTGGTTGGTTGGTTGGTTGGTTGATTGATTGACTGGTTGGTTGTTTAATTGGTCGGTTGGTTGATTGATTGATTGATTGGTTGGTTGGTTGGTTGGTTGGTTGATTGATTGACTGGTTGGTTGTTTAATTGGTCGGTTGGTTGATTGATTGTTTAATTGGTTGGTTGATTGATTGTTTTTTTGACTGGTTAGTTGTTTAATTGGTTGGTTGATTGGTTGACTGGTTGATTGATTGATTGATTGGTTGATTGGTTGACTGGTTAGTTGTTTAATTGGTTGGTTGACTGGTTAGTTGTTTAATTGGTAGAGTGTGGTTGTGTAATTAGTCGGTGGGCTGATGGATATGTTTTTGGTTAGTTGATTTACTGGCCTGTTGGTTGGTTGCTTGATTGTTTGCAGGATTGATTGATTGGTCAGTAGCAGGTCTGACCCAGTCACTCTGCTACAGGGTTACAGAGGAGCTCCCAGAGCCTTCATCGCCACCCAAGGGCCGATGCTGCACACTGTGGGGGACTTCTGGGACATGGTGTGGCAGGAAAGGAGCAGCATCATCGTCATGGTGACGAGACTGAAGGAGAAGAACGAGGTGAGGAGACATGACCCCTCATGTCCTTCCTCCTATGTGTACTAGTGTTAATAGTGTGCTCGGGGTTTCATTTCCAGAAATGTGAGCTGTATTGGCCACAGCCAATGGAGAAGAGCAGGACGGTGAAAGGAGGGGGACGAAGAGGAGGAGGAGGGAGAGGTGGGACGTTTTGGCAGATTTCTCCTCAGAGTCAGAGAGAGCCAAATAAAAGACGGGTTCACCATCACCGATATGGAGATCCAGGTACCGCCAAAGTAAAAGCATTTACTCCAATAATGCACTTTAGTATTTACATCACTTTGTTCTTTACCTATATATGAATTGAATACATCTCAGAGGTACATAGTGTACTTTTTACACACAAACTACTGAGACATCACTGTGTCTGTGAGTGTTCAGCTCTGCTCGGAGCGCCGTCCTGTCAGACACTACTGGTTCACCTCTTGGCCTGACCACCACATCCCACAATGCACCGCTCCTCTACTGAGACTGGTGGAGGAGGTGGAGACGTACAAGAAGTCCCTCCTTCCAACTGGCTCTCAGCCAATCACAGGCCCCGTGGTCGTCCACTGCAGGTTGGTTCCCCGGCCGTCATTATCAGAGATATGATCATCTTTTTACTTAATTATAGAGAATGCTTAATAAATATCCTAAGCCGTGATGTAGGTTTGACACGTGGGGGTCCTGGTTTTAATGTCCCGGTGTCGTCCTCTCAGTGCAGGGATCGGGAGGACCGGCTGCTTCATCGTCAGCAGCGTCGGCTGCCAGCAGCTCAGGGACAGCGGACAGGTGGACATCCTGGAGACGGTTTGTCAGCTACGACTGGACAGGTCAGACTCACCTGTCCTCGCTGGTATCCGCCTCTGATGTGTCTCCGTCTCTGGAGTAACGTTTGGCTCTCCGTCCTGTATAGGGGAGGCATGATCCAGACCACAGAGCAGTACCAGTTCCTCTACTCCACACTGGCCCAGTACAGTTGCCAGTTACAACACTGCCAGGTACACACACACAACCAGTGAACAGGAAGTGACCATATATGGCCTGAGCGAACGTAGAGATGGCTTATAGGTCTCTGGTAGAGACCTGTCAATCAGTGTTAGGCCCCGCCCTAAAGCGTCCACTGCTTTATGGTCAATTTGACTCTAAATGGACCGTAATCTGCTAAATGAACATCATGCTGTGTTGAAGAAGACTTGGAACTAGAGACTGAGACCATAAACTCATGTTTACAACGTTTACTGAGGGAATAAATCAAGAGAGAAGTAGAGTCATTTCCTCATAGACGTCTATGGGAGCAGAGGAGTCGCCCCCTGCTGGTCACTACAGAGAAGTAGAGTCATTTCCTCATAGACGTCTATGGGAGCAGAGGAGTCGCCCCCTGCTGGTCACTACAGAGAAGTAGAGTCATTTCCTCATAGACGTCTATGGGAGCAGAGGAGTCGCCCCCTGCTGGTCACTACAGAGAAGTAGAGTCATTTCCTCATAGACGTCTATGGGAGCAGAGGAGTCGCCCCCTGCTGGTCACTACAGAGAAGTAGAGTCATTTCCTCATAGACGTCTATGGGAGCAGAGGAGTCGCCCCCTGCTGGTCACTACAGAGAAGTAGAGTCATTTCCTCATAGACGTCTATGGGAGCAGAGGACTTCAGTAACAGCAGTGTTTCTTCTATCTTAGGAGCAGAAGCAGAACCCAGATGACCAAGTGAGCATCCAGTTACAGAACCTCCAGCTGAGCAGCACACAGAGCGAGAACCTGCAGAACCAACGAGGGCAAGTTGACACCTAAAGACATTGGACCTCAGAACCAGCAGGAGACCCAACTCCTGTCAATAACAGAACCAGAGAGATGGAAACAGGAAGTGAAAGACCCTCTGTACCTCCAGGGTATCAGGACCACATGAAACTGGATATATAGTGCCGGTTCAGAGCAAATAGAACCCGTAGAACCCGGAACGTCCTCACTGGACTCAGAAAACTGAGCAGAACCAAGCAGAAAAAAGCAATATGGAAATGTTGAGTCAAATAAAATGCATACCTACACCTTCTATGTCACGCTACCACTGCACTTCTCCTTTTAGTTGTTAAAGCATCTCCTGAATTAGTTATAAGGGTTAGGGTGATAAAAAGTGATAAACGTGTTTAATGACCACACAGGGAGAGAAGAATTAAGATGTTCACTGTTTTTATAAATAAACTTGCTGAACATGTTTTCCTCCATTTTGATGTTTTTACATAATCTCCATAGTGACCACCAGGGGCAGAAGTTCAACCACACAGCAGTCTGCTTCTGCCTCCCTCCCCTTTCTACCTCCTCTCCTCCTCTTCCTCCACCAGCCCCACCCAAACCGGAAGTTTCACGCTGTGTTTCATTTCATTCCATAAGAAATGTGAAAAAAAGACAAACATGAGGTGTCAGTTACAGTTATTATAACTCAGAAAACAGAGGAATTCTTCAAATGTAAAGTCTTCCATCAAAATCAGATTCGTTCAATTGTCAATGTAATTGTATTTATTTGTTTATTTGTTTATATTCCTTTGGCTGATTTTAAGATATCAAGTGAAGCAAAGTAATATACAACCAATATATTCTATTTAATTCCTAAAAACTAATTACACGAGTGATGGATGTTTGGACTGAAGTTGGTCAAATGTACATCGACCTTTTATTCTGAAGGTCTGTACCGGATGTGTCGGGCGGTCTGAAATCTAGCTGGACGGAGCTCGTAGGAAAAGGCGTAGCTAGTAAACATCACCGCGGAGCCCGAAAACACCGACTCATTCGACACCCACCTCGGTTCATCGCGAGTCCGCCGGTGTCCTTTGCTAAGCTGTAACCGCCCGCGGTCGTCACCGTGACTGTCAGCGTCCCCGAAAAACACCGGACTGTCGGGGCATTAGCCAGCTAGCATAGCCACCTAGCCGTAGCAGGACCCTCAAGCTAGCGTTAGCTTCGGACCGTACACAAAAAAAGAAAGGAAAAGATGATAGCGCTAATCAACAAACTGCTGGACTGGTTCAAGGCGCTTTTCTGGAAGGAGGAGATGGAGCTGACCCTGGTGGGGCTGCAGTACTCGGGGAAGACCACCTTCGTCAACGTGATAGCGGTAAGCGTTCCGGGGGCTAGCTCCCGGTGTGCTAACGCCACAGCTGTCAGTTAGCTAGCGTCTGGCTGCGTCCATTGTTGCTAACGCCGTAGCTAGTGTCGGATTCTTCTCATCAACCAACTCGGGGGGATTCGGAAATCCTGACAATTTTAAAGTTATAAAGTTAACACTAGCTGCTGCTGTCTGGCTGCTTCCGTTGTTATCCCCGTTAATAGCTCTCGGTGTTCCGCACCGGCGATGCGGTTAACTATCAACCAGATGAAGCTAGCTGTGCTCAGCGCGTAGCATTAGCTACAGTCTGCTCCTGGTCAACATATCACTTCTGCACCGGATGTAGCGTGTGAAATGAGCACAGATGCATCGATGGACGTTTTAAACCCCATTAAATGTGGATGATTTCATCATAATAATGGAAGGCCGATTTCTTCCTGGGGGGGGGGGGCGTTATTATAACCCCGTGGTGGTGGAGCCGAGGGTGGGGGTCGGTAGTCGGTAGAAGGTGGAGAATCGATCAGCTCCACCCTGTGGTGGTGACCTTCCTGCTGAATGCCCTCCTGTACACTTTGGGTGACTCACATAGACTTGACTTTTCCTTTACAGGTATATTGTTTTTTGTAATGCCAAATTCCTCGCTGATAGAATCTCTAGTTCTGAGATACAATTACTAAACCGTCTTCAATTCATGTCTACGTGTCGTCATGTGTTCATTTCTTCTCACTGATAGGCAGTGTTTTAAAAATAGCACATCGGCAATAAATGACAAATATAATCTAACTTAACATTTTTATTAAGGACATCTCGGTATGAAAGAGAAGTGGCATAACCTGCAGCGTCACATTAACAACCATGAAGAGAAACAGGAACACTGACTCGACGAGTCATGTGACATAACAAAGACTTCTAACCAATGAGCATCGAGCTCTCTGTACACCGATGACGTTACAGTCACGCTGCATTCAGTGACCAATAACATAAAGATCCATGTTGTGTCTATCGTCTCATTCTGACATCAGGAAGTCGGCACACAGAAGAAGAAGCTTTGTGCCGCCACTGTTGTTCCCATATTCAGCTTACCAGGACTCTGCTAGCATTTAGCTTAGCACGTAAACAGGAATGTTGCGTTTGGGGGCAGCCGTAAATAACAGACGCTGGACTTTGACTTTTCTTGTGTGATGAACCAAATCCCCCAATGAGACAAAGTGCGTGTCCTTGTGTTTCTGTCTCTCAGTCGGGCCAGTTCAGTGAAGACATGATTCCTACAGTTGGATTCAACATGAGGAAGATCACAAAGGGCAACGTCACCATCAAGGTTGGTGTTTCCATTCCACTCAGGAATATGAGTTCATGATTATTCACTGTTGGTTTTCTCATCCTGACTGAGGAGTTTAGTTCTCATTACTCTTTCCTATTATTAAGATTACTCAATGAAATGAAACCTATTTATAAGAAACTAGACGATAAATAAATGATCATTTACAGTAAGTGTCCCATGAATACAGAATATGTCCTTAATCCTTCTAGTGCTAAACGTTAAACGTGCTCTGTGTCTGTAGTTGTGGGACATCGGGGGTCAGCCTCGGTTCCGGAGCATGTGGGAGCGCTACTGTCGAGGAGTCAGCGCTATTGTGTAAGTTCCCTAGACGGCGCTCGCGTCCCTCTGACGGACCCGAGCGGGGAGACGGGAGCCGCTCACGCTGGTTGATGTTCTACAACCTCCATCGGTTCACCGACGGCACATTCAGAGCTTCCACAACCTTCTGCTGTTCTCAATGAGCTTCTGTCGTGTTTGTCCCTTTGCAGCTACATGGTGGACGCAGCCGACCCGGAGAAGATCGAAGCCTCCAAGAACGAACTCCACAACCTGCTGGACAAACCGCAGCTGCAGGGCATCCCGGTAGGAGCACCGGAGCCGGGCCGAGTCAATCAGAACCACTTTACTGATTGAAAGGGGGCGTTTTATGAAAATTCCTCCTATTTTAGTGCTTCTACACGTTGATTTGGGCATCTGGCTCGTCTACCGACCCAAAACCTCAAAGAGGAGGACAAATGCATGTTCGGCTTGATGGCCGGACAGGGGATGAAATATAAGGCGTCTTATTTTGTTACTCACCCTGTGTGTGTGTGTGTGTGTGTGTTCTCGCCTCCTGCGGGGCTCCAGGTTCTGGTTCTGGGGAACAAGAGGGACCTCCAAGGAGCTCTGGATGAGAAGGAGCTCATAGAGAGGATGTAAGTAACACGTCACCAGAATCACACGAAAGCTTCGCTTGTGATTCATGTTCATCACTTCATATGCTGATGAGTTGCTTCTGCGGTCAATAGAATTGATGACTTTGTATTATGTTTTTCATTATTGATCTTAATAAAAATCTTGCGTTAATCCATGACAATGCAACTCCATTCCTTAGTTGCAGTGAAGTATATAGTAGAAGTACATCAACTTGATGCAAAAGATTGAATTGTTTTTCATTTTGAAATTAGGAACCTGTCGGCCATCCAGGACCGCGAGATCTGCTGTTACTCCATCTCCTGCAAGGAGAAAGACAACATCGGTACCACACACACACACACACACACACTATTCATCTCGTATCTATTCTATATTCATGTGAACACATCTGGATTTATTTTAGTTTCATTACACATGAACACATCACGATAAGATCATATTGTTCTCAATTTTACTGAGCCTGAACGCATCATAATGTAACTGAAGTGAACCTCTTAGCCGTTAGCGGTGCTGCTAACGCTATTAGCTCTCCTGTTGATCGAACCGCTGATTGTTTTCTTTACAATGTCACATGATCAGAGAATAGAGGTGACGTCAGCGATCGATTGTTTAGCGATCGTCAGTTGTTTATTATGAAGCGCCAGCTGTTTCTCAGGTTGTGAACCTTAACCAATGACAACAACTTAACAATGACAGCTGTTTGTTTGTTGTTTGTCACACACGCTGCAGACATCACTCTCCAGTGGTTGATCCAACACTCCCGGACTAAGAGGAGTTCCTGAGAACAGACCCCCCCCACACCTGACCCCCAACAGAACAGGCCACGCCCACCTGTCTTACACACACGCTCTTTGATCAGACCCCTCCCATCTACCCTTCCTCCCCCCCCCCGTGACTCCGCCCCTTCAGATGCGCCGATGCCTCGTTCCAGAGCCTCTCGATCCATTTCCTGTTTCCTCTCGTAGCTCCACGCATCTCTCGGTTATTCACGCTGTTCTTTTCCTGTGTTTTACCTGCCGAGGCGATTCTGACCACATGCTGATAACGCCAGATTTCTATTGATTATATTGGTTATTAGAGGACGACGTTGCTCACGTCAAAGTAACGGCAGATCGAAAGCATTAACCACAGAAGAAGAAGATGGAATCCGCCCACTTTAGAGATTCCGAGATCTCCCTGAGAACCCACGGGACACACAATGATGTCATGTCCTGCTGTGACATCACAGGTCACACTACAAAAGCCTGCGGCTTCATTTCTACAGCAGTAAACGCTTTATTTACGAGAGTCTTTGTGGATGGAAGCTACGAGTTTAGCCTCTGAGCCGAGCCGTCGGTGCATCTTTAACCTCCACTCAGGAGACTTAGCTGGTTAGCTTCGAGCTCCGCCCCCCTCGTGGATCTGCCTTCATCGCCCCGCCCTCCTCGGATTGTTCCCCTTCTACCTCCATGTTCATCCATCCGCACCTCCTGTCCGTCTTTCCTACCCTCCTTTACTTTTGGATGTTTCCCGCTTCCTCTCTCCTTGCTGCCAAGCCCCGCCCCCTTCGCCGTGTCTCCTGCCCAGTGAGGGATAAAAAACCTTTTTATTGCACTGTTTGTTTTTTTGTAAGATATTAATAAGAATAATGTTAATAATCTTGTAATTGTGACATAACCTGGTGTGTCCAGATTTAATGGTGGTACTCTTAACTTGAGAAGGAGAAATGTTGTTTCTGTAATAAGCTTTTTATTCTTATTTGTTTTATATTGTTATTTTTGTATTATGTTCTTTTTTTTTACTCTCTGATGTAAACCAGAGGTCAGTGTTTCGTGCTCCGAGGCGCCTGCTGATTGGACCTCGAGTGTCACGTGATCACACATTCACACACCATGTAATTAATTAAGCGTTGGATCCCCACATATTAAATGTTTATTTTAAAATCCATCCGTTTAACACGTTTTCAGCCTTTTGTTTTTCCTCCTGGTTCTTTTGAATGATTCCTGACTAATAAATAGCTATAATTATAATGTCATAATCTCAATGAGAGATTCAAATCAGTTTAGTGTCAAATATTGGAACAAAATGTTTTTGTGCTCCTGAATAAATTCAAGTGAAAAAATAGTAAGTGGAAGTGGAATAGACCGAAATCTAAACTTGAGCTGAAATAATGAACCACACTTTTTACTTTGTTACAAAACTAACTTTCTATTTCATTTCTAAAACAAAAGTGTATCCGTACGAGTTGGCACTGGGTTCCGTGCATGTTCTCTCCGGTTCTCCGGCTTCCTGGGGATCCGGTTCCGGTATCGTTAAGTCGCCCGTAGGCGTGTGGATGTGAGTGGCTGTGAGCCCTGTGATTGGCTGGCGGTCCCAGGTGGACCCCGTCTCTCGCCCGACGTTTTATTCACATTAGAAAGGAACTAAATTCAAATCTACAACTTCAGTTTGAAATTCTACAAATCATTTTATCACCAAAATGAAGATTTGAATATTTCTCATAATATAAAGTTACAGTCGGATGTCTTAATTTCTAAAAGGATTTTGACCCGTAGACACAAAACGGTGTTACACGGATGTTTATCCGTGTTTTTTAAAATGTGTGTGTGTGTATATATATATACATATATATATCATATATGTATATATATACATATATATATCATATATATGTATATATATATACATATATATATCATATATGTATATATATACATATATATATCATATATGTATATATATATACACACACACACGTCTTCTCATCACATCCTGACCGCAGCCATCTGAGGGGAGTGGACCCTGCTGAGCGATGGGTCAGTACAGATGCTTCAGGAGAACATCTGGTGTCCTGATGAGACCTTCGGTGGGCTCATCGATCACAAGGAGAAACTAGCGTGAGGAAACCCCTTGATGGACTCTCAGATGTTCTCCTGGATCAGACCGACGCAGAGCCTGGATGTTTCTACTCAGATGTTTCCAGAAGCTGCTCCTTGAAGAACGTCAGCGCTTCCTGCGGGTGAAACGTGTTGCTCTGGTAAAATGAGGCCTGAGATATTTGCTCTTATTTCCTCCGTTTATTCAATCCGAACCAGGAAGTGGCCGCTAGCTGCTCCGTTCTGATTGGCTCTTTGTTTGCACGCCGACAGCAGACGAAGTAAACGAGTTACGATTCAGCTTTACCAGTAAAATGATGGTAATTAAGATCATTGACATTTGACCCCGACTGAAGGTAAATAATCTCTTATTGGTTTAATCCTCCACATTAGTGTCAGCACCTCTGACCTTTTGAAACCAGTATATATGGATATTTATATACAGGTTTATAACCTTAAGGAGGTTTGTAGACTTCTACAAAAGCCTCTTAAGATTATCTACAAGCTTTAACTGAGTTTCTAGTTAATCAAACCTAAATAATAATAAGAATATAGAAGTTAAGGCCTAAAGTCGTAGTTATTCTTTGGCTCCTCCTGTTCTCGCCCTGGGGAGGGTTACTGCACATTAGTTTTATTCCGTAGATATAATGTGTTTTAATAGAAATATGCTTGTGAAAGACACCAATTAAATACTATGATGAAAAACAACACGCTTGTTTGGAGTTATTCGTGATAAATGATTGTGTATCAAATTAGTTTGACTTACAATGTTACTGATAATATTGAGTAAAACATTACAATATTAAAAATAACAATAAAAGCAACTTTATCTTTATTTTTAGCTCTTGGGCTTAAATAGACACTTTTTATCAAATACTGAATTATGGAATTCTTTGTTTATTCTACAAATTCAGTTTCTTTGGGGTTTTTATTTAAGTGTTGAATGTCTTTCTAATTCTGAGCTGCAGGGGGCAGCAAACACACACACACACACAGACACAGACAAACTCACAGACACACACTCACACACACAGACGCACACATTACATTACATCACATGTCATTTATCTGACGCTTTTATCCAAAGCGACTCACAATAAGAACATTTCAACCATAAGGACACAAACTCAGAAGAACAAGAAACAAGAAAGTGTGATTTCATCAAATAAGCCGATGTACAACTTGCTGTAGATAAGAACCATTATAAGTCCAATGTAAGTGCTACAGGTAGTTAGTGTGTTAGTGGAGGTAGAGTCTGAAGAGGTGTGTCTTTAGTCTGAAGATGTGAAGGCTCTCTGTGGTCCTGATGTCTTCAGAGACCTCCTTCCACCATTTAGGAGCAGGACAGCAAAGAGTGGAGATCTAGTCGAGTGTTTTGCTCTCAGTGAGGAGGAACAAGCAGTTTATCACATGCAGAGCGGAGAGGTCAGAGGTCGGGGGGTCGGGTTGGACCAGGTCCTGGATGTAAGCTCGTAACCTCAGAGATTCCTCTAAAGATGGAGGATATAAAGCCTATTATAAATAATTATTGTATTAAATTCATTTTATTATATTATAGTATATCACATATGGTCATCACATGTATATACATGTATAAATATGCATTTTTTATATATACAAATATAAATATATATATTTTGTTTATGTGTAAATATCCGTCCCACTCAATCGTTGACAGTTTAAAACAAGATATTTTTCATTCAAAACAGAGACGTGATCAAACTGAGAAGAGGCGTGTGTGTGTGTGTGTGTGTGTGTGTGTGTGTCACTACTATTATACCAGTCAACAAAGAAAATGGCCTCAGTGTTTCCTGTCTGCAGTACTTGGTGGTCTCACCAGTGTTTGTTTCCCGATGAGACTCAACCTAACCCTCCATCTGTGGACCCCGTGCTCATTGTCATGGCAACAGTATCCCCCTCCTCCTTCTCCTCCACCTTCTCCACTCACGCCTTCCCTCACCAGCTTTCCCACCGAACAAAACCCACATTATTCTCCTGGTGTGTGTGTGTGTGTGTGTGTGTGTGTGTGTGTGTGTGTGTGTGTGTGTGTGTGAGAGAGAGACATTCAGGTCAGATTAGTTTGTGTTCATTGAGCTTGTCTAGGGAGACACACACATACGCACACACAGAGACACACTCAGCGCTTTGTGGGAACTTTAACACTGTTTAAACTTTTACACAGAGTTTCAAAGTGAGGAAATCTTGATTTATTCCCTCAGTAAACATTGTAAACATGAGTTTATGTCTCAGTCTCTAGTTTCAAGTCTTCTTCAACACAACATGATGTTCATTTAGTGACTGATGGTCCATTTAGAGTCAAACAGAGCAGGGGACGCTTTAGGGCGGGGCTACACGCTGATTGACAGGTCTCTGTCACAGACATGTACGGCGTCTCTACGTCCTCCTCAGTTCTTATAAGGTCACTTCCTGTTTACAGACGGAACTGGAGGCCTCAAAAGTCCCCGACCCAAAGAAAGACGTGGCTGTGGCAACGTGGACCTCGATAGACGATGGGGACGAGATCAAGTATCGTAAAGTCCAACACGGCAACACAGATATGTGAGTTACGGGGAAATAAACAAGGAGTTGGAACTTTTTTTAAACGTGGTCACTCCGAGCTGCAGGAACAAAGTGTTTCAGGAGGCCGGGATGTCGTCCTCATTAGTAGTGATGAGGGTTCGCCCCTCAGATACAAACCACCGAACAGACCGCCTCTGTTCACTAATGACCCCCCCACACAGACTAGACCTCCACCGGTCATACACGGACCTCTCCGCAGCAGACTGGACGGGAACCAGCTGACGTTATGTAACTTAGGAGGTCACGGGTTCGAGTCCCAGCTCGATCATTAGGTGGGTTTGTGTTTCACATCCACCTCCATATTCTTTATTTTAGGTGGGTTGTTGCATTAACTTAGATTCCACTACTTTAGAACAGCCAATCGGCTCACATCTTACATCACACGTCATTTATCTGACGCTTTTATCCAAAGCGACTCACAATAAGAACATTTAACCATAAGGACACAAACTCAGAAGAACAAGAAACAAGAAAGTGTGATTTCATCAAATAAGCCGATTTACAACTTACAAGTGCTCCAGTTAGTTAGTGTGTTAGTGGAGGTCGGTAGTCAAGCTACATACTTAAAGGGACAGAGTTTAGGGGGTTTAGTTGACAGCAGTGGAATCAGATGATGGATTATTTATATCTACGTAGAGCCGCCGTGTGGCACTACCACGTTTCTACGGAGGCCCAGAGCGGAAAAACTGTCCCTAGAGCGTCTTACATCCGAGTATTGATACGCTCTGACGTTACTGATGCTTTTTATGAGTGCTTATCATTGTTGGGACGCTGTTTGTCTGTCTGCTACACACACACATAGACACAAATACACATGCGCACAAAGAGAGAGGCTTCTGACAAATAGCAGTCATATAAACATTTAGAAGCAGTCAAATATTTGTGTTAATCGCTAAGAGACTCACATTGATGAGGAAGGAGTTTACATTTCAAAATTAACAGATCTTTGTGTGTGAGCGTGTGAGTTTGGCTCGGTATCCCATGGCGACGGGACAGGAGTGAGGTCATTGTAATGCAACTCAGCCGCTGTGCTGAGGGAAAGAACTCTTCACACAACGGACGAAAGTCCTTTAACAGAAATAATGATTCCTGTGCTGTCACGTCATGAACATTAACTCAATTAATCGCATTAGTTTCTGTGATTAACAGCGATTAATCGCAATGTGCGTAAAATGTTATAATAAATAATCAAAAACTAGTGTATTGGATGCTTTTATTTTAAAGTAATGTTCAAATATAAAAGTCACTCCCAGAGCAACGGCAAGTAAACAGAGAGGATATAAATCTAAAGTAGTGAGGGTCCCTGTTAGTGACGTAACGTGTAAACTTTACTTCCTCTTACTCCTGGTTGCTAAGACACACAAGGTAATCTACGTTTTCAGATGATGAAGAACCTCTCTTCTTCTGAACAATGACCATGACCAGGAGAGGAAACACCTCATTCGCTGAAATTCTACGGACGCTTCATTCTTCTTTGTCTTCACACCGCATCAGCGTAGTCTGCCCAAGTCTTGGCTAGCGGGCTGTTAGCATAAGTATGTGTTTGAGTTTTTGATGGGATCATCGGTTGATTTGTAATTTAGTTGTTAAATTAAAGCAGTTCTTCTGTTTTAACATTTAACAACAATACTTTTTTTACATCTCATAAAATCTTGTTGTACAGTAGCTTTAAAGGGTATTTTGGACTCTTAATTGAAGAAGAACCCAATGGGCTGTTACGTCATCACTTCTTGTTGCCACTGACGGACTCATTATTATAAGTCTCTGTACCAGACTCAGATATGAAACATGTTTCTTTCTATTTGCTATTGAGTCTAAAGTCTCTCGTTCTTAGAGGTTTCTGGAGGACCACGGAGAAGAGTTGTCACGGTTTATATTACAGTAGTTTGCCATCTGCTATTTCTGATGTCAGGGGTAAATATGTACATGAGAATTCTCCTTGAGTGAGACTTCTTCAGACACAGTGACAAACATACAAGTAAAGCGTTTATTTCTCTGTAGAATCTCATTCACGAATGCGCAGAGATACAAACAGAAGACAGAGGTTAGTGTGTTTGTCTGGACTGTCCCTTTATTAAAGATTTATGAAAAAGTGGCCTTAATACAACTTCAGAATAATCGCTAACAAAATAATATGATTTAAGTCAATATGTCTCCTTTTGTCCAGTTATTATTAAAAAAAAGTAAAAGCTTGGCCGCAAAACTGGACACAGATATATTCACCATTTGTAAATATGGACCCAAATCACATTATGTGCTGTATATCAAATATAAACCAGCCGTTTTCATATCATTATTATTGACAGTGAAGGTTTTTGTCAAATGTACCATATTATTTACTCTCCATTAATTACGAAATATTTCAGCTTCCCATCATCGTTTAACCGTGTTATCAGAAACACATGTTCATATCCTTTACCATTTTTTTGGGACCCAAATGTAGAAAGTAAATCTATTTTATTCCCCTTTTTTAGGGTTTCGATAATAAATTAGATTTATAGTTAAATGAAACCAAAGGGGGGAGATAATGTTTATTTTTCATTATGATGAATAATGAAAAATCCAAATTTCAACGACCTTTTGCAAAAGGTTTCACATATTCAAACTTACTTGTTATTTTTTGTTTTGTTGTGTTTATTTCCAAGGCAACTGGAGACAAACTGTTAAATGAGCTTTTCAATCAAAGATGTTTGATCTCTACACAATAAAACTTTGAGGAGGCACGAAGGCGCTGACAACATTCACATGGTTTAACATGTCGCTGATTACAAAGACATAAACAATCTTGTGACAAAAACTCAATTGCCTTCATAAAAATATGTAATTAGTGATAATAATATTAATACAAGTTCCTACACAGTTTCACTTCCTGTACAAAGAGGCTGAAAAGGTCCTTTTCACAATGCTTCTCTCCTTCTTTCCTTCACTTCTTTCCTTTTAGAAAACAACCGAGTCAACAGACTCACAAGAAGTCAGACTCGCTAAGTGATGATCCGAAGCCTAGCGAGCCTACTGACTGCTGCAGCGACCCTGCGTAACCAGGGTAGCATTGAAGCGTGTTGGGGTTAGCAAGCTAGCAGCTAGCATTCAGCTGGCTCATAAGCTAGCGTATAGCTGGATTGTCTGCTAGCTAGCAGCAGGGCTGGGTCTAACTGTCCCTCCACCTCACTGCCCGTTGCTCTGGAGAAGGATTGAGGTGTCAGTGTAGCATCAAAGCATAGTGGGACTAGATAGCTAACTAGCTAGCTGTACAGTAGTTATCCAGCGAACTAGCCAGGTGCACTAGTTAGCTATCTAGCTCCACCATGCTGTGATGCTACAACGATTACAGGAAATTAGCCAAACAATATACTGGTTAGCCAGCAGCAGCACCTTGTCTAAATGTCCCTCCACCTCACCCCCCATCGCTCGAAAGAACAAACAAGCTAGCTAAACGGTGTAAAGTTCGCTACTTAGCAAGCTAGCCTGTTCCATCATGCAGAAGGAAAACAGCAACATCACTGTCACACTGCTAGTGTTAGAAATAAGTGCTAACGTTCTTCTTAGCCGGATTTAAAAGGCATCACTAACTTCCCCACCAAACTTCAGCTTTGGACCGACTGAAAAAGACATCAAGCACTTCACATCAAACAGCAACTTTTCTACCATTACTACTGATTAGACTTCACTTTCTGTGCACACAGTAGGCCGGAGAGAGGATCCCTGTGTCCGTAGAGAAATATCGTACAAATAGAAAGTCTGGAAGAGGAGAGGACTAAAGATGGAGAAGAGATGATTGTAGAGGAAAGAGGAAACTGGAGGGTTAAAGAGAACTAACGATGGAAGAGGAAGCGTAAAAATTGATTGATGGAAAATGAGGGACCAGGGTCTAGCTTGAGATGGACAAGATGGCCGACGTGTCTTTAGCCTTGTCGAAGAAGATGGACGTCTCATTGGCTGCCTTCAGTTTGACCTGGGCGGAGCTTGGCGAGCCCTGGGCGCTGGTTGGCTGACATTCCTGACAGCAGCAACAGCAGCAGTCCATGAAGGCTTGACCAAGGGCCTGAAACATGACAACAGTACCGTTAGCATCTCTCGCTAGCCAATTCTACATTCCCACTATCACGCCGAAGTGTAGCTCACATGCTCATTGACCTAGTAGCGCTAAAGCGTCCCTGCTTTATGTTCTGTTTGACTGTACATGGACCATAATCTACTAAATGAGCATCATGCTGTATGAAGTAGACTTAAAACTAGAGACTGAGACCATAAACTCATGTTTAAAATGTTTACTGAGGGAATAAATCAAGAGTCATTTTCTGATAGACGTCTATGGGAGCAGAGGAGTCGCCCCCTGCTGGTCACTGCAGAGAAGTAGAGTCATTTCCTCATAGACGTCTATGGGAGCAGAGGAGTCGCCCCCTGCTGGTCACTACAGAGAAGTAGAGTCATTTCCTCATAGACGTCTATGGGAGCAGAGGAGTCGCCCCCTGCTGGTCACTACAGAGAAGTAGAGTCATTTCCTCATAGACGTCTATGGGAGCAGAGGAGTCGCCCCCTGCTGGTCACTACAGAGAAGTAGAGTCATTTCCTCATAGACGTCTATGGGAGCAGAGGAGTCGCCCCCTGCTGGTCACTACAGAGAAGTAGAGTCATTTCCTCATAGACGTCTATGGGAGCAGAGGAGTCGCCCCCTGCTGGTCACTACAGAGAAGTACAGTCATTTCCTCATAGACGTCTATGGGAGCAGAGGAGTCGCCCCCTGCTGGTCACTACAGAGAAGTAGAGTCATTTCCTCATAGACGTCTATGGGAGCAGAGGAGTCGCCCCCTGCTGGTCACTACAGAGAAGTAGAGTCATTTCCTCATAGACGTCTATGGGAGCAGAGGAGTCGCCCCCTGCTGGTCACTACAGAGAAGTAGAGTCATTTCCTCATAGACGTCTATGGGAGCAGAGGAGTCGCCCCCTGCTGGTCACCACACAGAATGCATCTCTATCTCCTGAAGCTCTGACTTACATCACACAGATACAGCAGCAGCACCGGGGTCACCGAGGACTTGAAGAATAAAAGGAAGTGATGCAGCAGCGCCAGCATGGCGGCGGTATCCTCGGAGACGGCGATGTGCGCGTAGGCCTGCGTGATGTTGCACACGTGCTCGGGCAATGCGCAGACGCCGTACACCACCGCCAGCGCCAACAGCGTGCAGTTCAGCTGGCGCTCTACCACCTGGTGCCGCTTCTGATTAGAGGACGTGCGGTCGTCGTGGCTGCGCTGCTTCTGGGCGGAGCTTGAGTCGCTGTTGACGTTGCGCGTGGCCATTTGGCAGAGCACGGTGAAGAGGATGGGGAGGCAGAAGTAGCAGCCGAAGCACCACCACATCCGGCCCTGGAAACCCCGGGGGGTAATCGTCAGGAACAAAATACTGGCTTATTGCTTTAAAGACAATATTCCTACTAAGCTGTAAAAAGTGTACAGTGAACAATATTCCACGAATGATTCCATGAACACGCATCGATGAATGATGAAGATCTCTCTCCGTGTTTCTTTAGCAGAGATCCGGTTCACGTCTTCTTCTTCTACTCTTGTTTTACAAGTACGTGTAAAGCTTCTTCTACACAACAAAGGTTTATTTACTCTGAACCAGTTCAAGGAAACACTGATCAATTACATTGTTTATAACCAGTTTGGTTACAACGACGACTGAACAGCTGATATTACCTTACTGTTATTATTGTATTATTACACATTGACACTAAATGTCCACTATTATTAATGGATGACGTGGAGAGTTCATGTATGTATTTATATATATATATATATATATATATATATATATATATATATATATACACATCATGTGATATATCATGTGACTTCAATCACAAACTACATTCCTCAGGTTTTTACATTTTGGGCCTCAGCTCTTTTCCCACAAACCACCTCTTCTAATGAGATGCATGTGAACGGGATCGATGCGCTTACCGCCCCACTTACTCTCCAGATCTTGCCCTACGCCTCCACACCTCGCTGTGACTCTATGACTCACCTGGTGGTACCTGAGCAGCAGGGAGTGCAGGGAGTCGGGCAGGTAGAGCAACAGGGGGGACGAGGGGGTGATGGTGCAGGAGTCCACCAGCCGGCCTGTGGACGGGGAGGCGGAGCGGCTCGGCTGCCACAGGAAGATCTCCGGGCTGGACAGTGTCAGCGCGGAGATCCACACCAGCAGCAGCTTCAGCAGCACGGCGCCACAGCGCTCCACCCGCCGGGCCTTCAGTGGGGAGGAGGAGGAGGTGGAGGTGGAGGTGGCGGCGAGGAAGCGGTCAATGCCGAGAGCGCACAGCGTGAAGGAGGTGATGCCCAGAGACACGGCCTGCAGAGGGAGGGAAGAGGTTGATGAGGCCTCCTCCCACAGGAGGACAGTGGTTCTATTGATGTGCTTGTAGGGGTCGATAGGTGGAGGCGTGCTAACCTCTGTTAGCATTAGCATCTACAGGCATGCTAACTTGAGACCGATCTGATCTTCTTACAATGTATGAAATGTGATATTTCTGCAGGAAAGAGTCAAAAGACACGTGGACCCAAATGTTAAGACTTTTCATAGGACGTTACATAAAAAAATCTAATATAAGATTATATTTTATGTCTCTAATCCTTTTATTTGTTTTTAATGCAAACTCAAATTATAAATCTACAGACTTGTTTCCTACGTCTTCATTTAATGACCCTTTGGCCTTTCCACACGCTCCCACTGGGAAACTGTAGTCTCTTCTGAGGGGCGCTTGTTTTCTATGCCTCTGTCCTGAGGGGGGTGATAATGGTGGTGGAGATTGTGATCAATCCTTCAATCATCCTAATGATCAACGGAACGACTTCCTACTGTGTTTGAAGACCAACTGATCACATTTTGAAAGTCAAAGCTCACCGTGGAAACAACTAAACAATCGGTTACGGAGCTTCACTGAGGACAAATTGACTCTCGACTAGAAAGAATACAATAGCAAAGGGTCAAAGGTCACAAATCACAGCTTGGGTCCTTGGACCTCTGGAGGACAGCGACCTGACCTTTGCAGAACAAACTTTTAACCAGAATCCTAAACATCCAACCAAGACAAAGGCGATAACAGTCAATGACCCGTTAATCCAAAGATACCTTTGAAACATCTTCATGCGGAGGAGGAACCGTTTCCTCTGGAGCCACTAAATCACCAGCCAGTAAATCACATGAACAGTATTTACACTATAAAAACACAAAATCTACTCCGCGCAAGCCCCACCCACCTCCATGTAGGGCACCATACGGCAGGTGATGTCGCCCAGGATCCTCCTGTGGGAAAGCTGGTTGAGGACCACCACAGGGAGGCAGAGCACCAGGACAAGGAAGTCCCAGAATGCCATGCTGGCCAGCAGGTAGTTCCAGGCAGACCTCATGTAATAGTTGTTCCACACCACGCACATGACGGCCATGTTGCCCACCACGCCCACCGCCAGCACCAGGCCGGCCAGGAACAGCACCGCGTAGGCCGAGTATGAGCCGTCTGCCAGCGGGTAAAAGGGGTTGAAGAGCCCCGGGGGGTCGCGTGGGTCGGAGTCGGAGGCGTTTCCGGCCGCGGCCGTCGTCCCGTTGGCGAACTCGGTGGCCTGTGGCGGCGTCACCGAGTCGTCCTCGAAGGAGTGGCCAAAGGTGGACTGCTGCTCCTCCTCCTCGGCTCCGCGGGCCGGGCGGCGGTTGTGACCACGGCGGTCCAGGTCCAGGAGGGACCGGCCCTCCTCCGTCCCGGTCCAGAGGCGCTCGAGCTGGATGAGGGAGGATGGCTCCTCCGACGGCGCGCTACTCCCGGCCTCCGTGAAGATCAGCGGCAGGCTGAGGCACAGCCACAAGGCGACGGGCGGCACCATGCTGGGGCCTTCAGACCGAGAGGTGGAGGCTTCCCACCGAGAGGTGGAGGCTTCACAGAAAAGACGATGAAAAAAGCGCAAAGAAGCGATCGGATGACCTGGAGAGTCTGAAAAGCCTTTCAATGAGCCGCGGGTTCAAAACCACGAAAAGACAATTCCAGGCAAACGTTTAAAAGACTTCTGAGTTTGTGGAAGAAATTCTCTTCTCCTCTCCGCAGCCTCCCGATACTCCCCTGAAGTTCCCCACTTCAGACCCGGACTCTGCTTGTCCTGTCCATTAGTAACCCGAGCAGGAGCTCCTGGAGGAGGACGAGGAGGAGGAGGAGGGGGCAGCGCGAGGCTCTGAGTCTGCGTCGGGCAGCTGGGTCTGTGGGGACGGCGGAGACACTAGAAGTCCAGGAGCTCTGAGGGTCTCTGGGAACAAGCAGCCCTCTGCAGTCTGGTTGGATGGAGCCTTTGTCGAGACACACACAGACACACACAAACACACGCACACTCACACTGACAAGCATACTAACAAGGTTGGCTCACACATACACACATAGTCTGCACAATCATGCATACTTTTGGCTCTCGCTTTCCGTCTCTTTCACACACTCACAAGCTCACACACTAGAAACACTGATTTAAACCCACTCTCAGGTCTGCTGCCCCCTGCTGGTGGTTTAGTCCAACTGGCTCCACTGAAACATGTGTGTGTGTGTGTGTGTGTGTGTGTGTGTGTGTGTGTGTGTGTGTGTGTGTGTGTGTGTGTGTATGTGTGTGTGTACGTGTGTGTGCATCCAGTTCTAAACATGGTGCTCACGTACCATGCTGTGAATGGATGGGGTCCAGCTTCCATCCAGGACCTGGTCCAACCCGACATCCCGACCTCTGACCTCTCTGCTCTGCATGTGATAAACTGCTTGTTCCTCCTCACTGAGAGCAAAACACTGGACTAGATCTCCACTCTTTGCTGTCCTGCTCCTAAATGGTGGAAGGAGGTCTCTGAAGACATCAGGACCACAGAGAGCCTTCACATCTTCAGACTAAAGACACACCTCTTCACACTCTACCTCCACTAACACACTAACTAACTGCAGCACTTACATTGGACTTATAATGGTTCTTATCTACAGCAAGTGCGTGTGTGTGTGTGCGTGTGTGTGTGTGTGCGTGCGTGCGTGCGTGCGTGCGTGTGCGTGTGTGTGTGTACCATACAGAACCATTTGAAACACAGTAAGAACTTTCTTTTCTCATGTTGAGGCTCTACTCTTCAGTTAGAAGGAGAATTGGAGAGAGAAAGATAGGGAGGGGTGGGAGGGAGAGAGGGGGAGGGAGAGAGGGAGGGGAGGGGAGGAGGAGGGGAGGGGTGTGGTCTCTCTCTCTGTCGTTCCTCACTGACCTGCAGCAGAGCGTCATGGAGCTTCTCTCCTCTCTGAGGAGCGTAGCGACGGAGACTCTGGACCAGGAGTACAACGTGAGTCTGTGTGAGTCTGTGTGTGTCTGTGTGTGTCTGTCTGTGTGTGTCTGTCTGTGTGTGTCTGTGTGTGTCTGTCTGTGTGTGTGTCTGTCTGTCTGTGTGTGTCTGTCTGTCTGAAGAACCAACATGTTGGTTCTTCATATATTTGACGTGAGATTTTAGCCTCTTAACTGAATAAGTTAACTAGTTAATAACAAGTTCATAACGACACTTGATGCACATGAACACAGTGGAGGGCTGAAGGGAAAGTGACCTCGGGGTCGGTGCTGAAGGTCATTGTGTGTTTATGATTAGATCTCAGTATTCAAATGAGGTCAGACATGCAAAGGTAAACCTTCACAGAGCTGCATGTGGTGCACCTGAAATACACGGAACCATCAACACGTTGTGCTCATAAAGAGTTCAGCGGTTCTCCCATTAAATTGTTTGTTGTTCGGGTCACTTATGATTATTCCCTATAGAAGCGTAACTTTGAGAACAATTTGTTTACATGGATTTGAAAAAAAACAGGGTCCTGGTCTAGTCCAAGGCCTGTTACCCAGTAGACCCCTGAAGGGTCCTGGTCTAGTCCAAGGCCTGTTACCCAGTAGACCCCTGAAGGTTCCTGGTCTAGTCCAAGGCCTCTTACCCAGTATACCTTTGAAGAGTCCTAGTATAGTCCAAGGCCTCTTACCCAGTAGACCCCTGAAGGGTCCTGGTCTAGTCCAAGACCTCTTACCAAGTAGACCCCTGAAAGGTCCTGGTCTAGTCAAGGCCTCTTACCCAGTAGACCCCTGAAGGGTGCTGGTCTAGTCCAAGGCCTCTTACCCAGTAGACCCCTGAAGGTTCCTAGTCTAGTCCAAGGCCTCTTACCCAGTATACCTTTGAAGAGTCCTAGTATAGTCCAAGGCCTCTTACCCAGTAGACCCCTGAAAGGTCCTGGTCTAGTCAAGGCCTCTTACCCAGTAGACCTCTGGAGGGTCCTGGTCTAGTCCAAGGCCCGTTACCCAGTATACCTCTGAAGGGTCCTAGTATAGTCCAAGGCCTCTTACCCAGTAGACCCCTGAAGGGTCCTGGTCTAGTCCAAGGCCTCTTACCCAGTATACCTCTGGAGGGTCCTGGTCTAGTCCAAGGCCCGTTACCCAGTATACCTCTGAAGGGTCCTAGTATAGTCCAAGGCCTCTTACCCAGTAGACCCCTGAAGGGTCCTGGTCTAGCCTCTTACCCAGCAGACAGACCTTTGTGATGGGTTGTTCGAGAACATTGCTCTTGGTTTTGATCTTCACTGACCGAACTAGTCCTTTAGCATCTGGCATCGTTCTTATTACTCTTCCCAGCATCCATGACCCTCTGGGTGCTGTTGAGTCAACAATCATGACGACATCACCTGTTTGAATGTTTTTCTTTTTACTTTTTTCTTGCATTAAGGGCAAACACTCAGGTTCACCTCTTCCAAAATAAGGGTTTAAAGACCATTTGACACGGTCTTCCAGCAAGGAATTTCTGAGTTTGTCCTGGTCTAGACTCCTGAGGGCTTTACAGAGTTCTCTTTCTGCGCCAACCAGATTAGTGCCATTGTCAGAGCGGATGTGTGATACTTGACCTCTTCGGCATATGAACCTCCTATTGGCATGAATGCAGGAGACTGTATATAGCAGGTAGCTCATTGTGCCATATCCACATTCGTCCGAAAAGTGATGCAATTGGACGCTTGTTGGTTTTTCAAAGTCTTTTGGCTTGATGCAGTGAGGCACACTGAGATCAGTCAGTTTTTTCACACTGGATGTCCACTCTACCCACTTTTTAGACGTTGTTTGTGGAATTTTCTCATCCCATCCATACTTCTGTTTTCACAGCTCTTGAAGTATGGTCTTCACAGGGAGTGTGAGTGGAACTAGAAATCCAAGTGGATCGTACACCGAGTTTACCACAGACACTCTTTGAGTGTGTGGTCTTTCTTTCACTATGATCTTGAACATGAATGTATCATTCTCAACTCCCCACTGTAGACCTTGGCTTTGTCTTCCTCCGGAAAAGCAGAGAGCACAGCGTGGCTGTTACTCACCCACTTTGTGAGGTGAAATCCTCCCATGTGACAGACAGTTGACAGGTCTAACCAGTTATACAGCCTCTTGTTCAGAGGGCATAGATTTTAGACAATCATCGACATAGAAGCTGTTTCTAATGGTGTCTATTACCTCTGGGTGAAAGCAAGTCTTGTTGTCCTCTGTTGTTCTTTTCAATGCAAAACTTGCACAGCTAGGTAAAGATGTTGCTCCAAACAGGTGTACAAGCTTTTGCTGATACCTTCACTTGGTGGAACATGGAGCGAATTACTGCCATTACAACCACTGGCTCCTGCCTGAAGCACTCCAACCAGGCTGTTTGTCAAATCAGGGCCTTGTAGCAGCTCAGAGTGGAGGGTCTTTCCATGGGAGGATGCACTGCAATCAAAGATGACTCTTAAGGTTTGCTTCCTGGGGTGATATACTCCATGATGTTGAACGTACCAAACTCTGCCATCCGTCTTATCCAGCTGCTCTGATGGTACCACTTCAGCATATCCCTTCTCAATCACATTAGTTGCAAAGTCAATTTCCTTGAAATGTCCTTTTCAACCCTAAGAAGCGTTGTGCTGCAACTGAGCGGTTATTTGGCATGATCAAGTTACCTCTCCCGAAAGGCAAGTGCAGGTTATAGTGTCCATCTTTCAGTATTGCACTATCATTTGCACATTTCATGAACTTCCTGTCTTCAATTGACATCTCAGGCTTGTCCTCAGATGCTTTCTCACTGAAATCTTGGTTGTCTTGACTGATCAAGAGCAGAGTGAAGTAAGGAGATCGCAGGTAGAATAGATGGGTTTGGCTTTGAAGGACGATATGTGACAAGCACTGTCATGGAGTACGGAGATTTGCATTTGAAGGCCAGGCATTCATTCAATCTAACTACGTAGGGATGAGAAAGAAAGAATTGAACCTAAACACCCCCCTTTCGCCACTTAGAAATCGTCTATAGAGGTTAGAGTTGCTACATTTGAAATGTTTAATTCATTGAGGTAAAGACACAGTGTTGCTCCTTAAATATGATTAAATCTTTTAAATCAATGAAGTTTTAAAACTGAGAAACTATTCTCCTGAGCGAATGTCCCTGTGTATGTCTGTGTGTCTCTGTGTGTGTCTCAGATGGTGCGTTCACTGACCTCTGTGGAGAAGAAGGACCTTGGTCTGACCTCTGATGTTGGAGAGTTAAAGGAGAACATCAAGAAGAACCGCTACAAAGACATCCTGCCTTGTGAGGACTCACCTCCTCCTCCGTCTCCTCGGCTCCTTGCTCCCTACCTTCTTGTGACCTTCATCCACTTGCATGAAGGACACACTTCTTCTCATTTAAAATAAAACAAGACAAGGTTTGGTTAAACTGTGTGTGTGTGTGTGTGTGTGTGTGTGTGTGTAGACGATCAGTCCCGGGTGGTCTTGTCTCTGATGACATCAGACTCAGACTCTGATTACATCAACGCCAGCTTCATCCCGGTGAGAGCTGCTTCCTTCCTTCCTTCATTCTTCCTTTGTTCCTCCTTCCACCATCCCTCCCTCCCTATGTCCCCTCTTTCCTTCCTTCCTTCCTAGCAGAGAAGTTCAGTTCTTTACTGAGCTCATATTTGGCCCATGTTGTAACACGTCATCTTGTCCACCAGGGGGTGACGTCACACCGCCGTTACATCGCCTCGCAGGGACCCCTCGGCTCCACGCGCACGGACTTCTGGAGGATGATCTGGGAAAATGACGTCAAGGTGCAGCATGAAACACACATGTCTCGTTATTTAAGATACTCCACCTGTTTGAAGTTGTCTTGGTGATCAGCGGAGGGAGGCGGGGACTAACGTCTGGTTCTGTGTGTTCCAGGTGATAGTCATGGCCTGCAGAGAAATAGAGATGGGGAAGGTAAGATGGAACCAGGAACAATAATACCAATTAAATGTAAAATAGTTGTCAGCGGCTTATGTCACATTACTTTGTTTTAGTCACGTCTTTAACTTTGACTTCATGTTGGTTTTTAACATCAGAATCATATTGTGACTTTATGGACGTAACTGGTGGTTTGTTTCCTGCAGAAGAAGTGTGAGTGTTACTGGTCACCAGTTCAACAGGAAGCTTCTTATGGGGCCTTCAGGGTGTGCAACGTGAGGACACACACACACACACACACACACACGCACGCACACACACACACAAACATTTTATTACATATAAATGTTGTTGTTGTTGTTGTTATTCTCCAGCAGGAGGAGACGCGTCCTGATGAAAACATTGTGATCAGAGTTCTGACTGTCTCCTACCAGCAGGTATATATATATATATTACATATATATATATATATATATACACACATATTGGTGCTGTTTGAATGTTTGTATCAACCTCCCCACCTCAGATCACCCGCTCACTGACCCAGTATCAGTTCCTCTCTTGGCCCGATCATGAAGTTCCACATGAGGTTTCTGGAGTTTTGGATCTTCTGGAGAAAGTCAGAGTGACTCAAAGTACACACACCTCACCTGTACTGATCCACTGCAGGTACACACACACACACACACACACACACACACACACACACACACACACACACACACACACTAATGCTGATTCCATGTCATTATTGAAACCTGTTTTTTCCAGCAGTGCAGATCTCAGATCAGATGGTCATTAACATTCAACAAGCAGTAACACACACATATGGCAGCTTATCTCTCACACACACACAGACACACACAGACACACACAGTGACAGCAGCAGGCTGTGAATATGCAGCAGGTAACACTTGCTAACGATGTCACAGCTAGTACGCAAACTGCATCTGTTCCTGTGTGCGTGTGTGTGTGTCTGTGTGTGTGTGTGTCTGTGTGTGTGTGTGTGTGTGTCACAGTGCGGGCTGTGGGAGGACCGGAGTCCTCTGTGTTCTTGACTACATCCACGACCTGCTGGTTACCAAGGTAACGAGTAATGACGAAGAGAAGTACTGTTTTCTGTGGTACTTCTACTTCGTTTTGCAGACAACATATTTTCTTATTTTACTCCTCCAGAAAACATAACAGTATGAAAGAGAAACAGAAATCAAACGCTATCAGGAAGTAAGTAAATAACTATTTAAAAAAGGAAGAGACGGTTAAACTATCAAGTGCTAGGTTCAAAATAAAAGTACTATAGTTTTTGCCCGTTGCTTGAACACATTTCGTAAAATTTCGCTCATTGTGCCAAAACTCTACACAGTAAACATGACACAACACTGGTAAACACATCTGTGTCAAATTGAAACTGTACTATCAAAACCTAACATTCCTTTGTCAAAATGTAACTCTGATGACAAAATGACACATACATGCATCATATGACACATACATGCATCATATGACACATACATGCATCATATGAATACACTTTCAGATCAGCAGCAACACACTAGTCTACTTTATATAAAAAACTGCAGTCTTTTGTTTTCAATGTTTTTATTCAATTCCACTGAGGGCAACAACCAAAACATGAAATACTGAATTCAAAATCATTACTAGACTTAGTATACTGAACTCTACTGTATTTACCATACACAGTACTGACACATCTCAACACGTTATCACAATGTGTTTCACAAAATACCACTTTTGTTGGAAACGGAGCATTAGCCACCGTGGAAACAATACATGTCATATGGTACAGTACTGTAAATACTCCAGAGACAGTCTGAGTAGAGTATAGAGTTGAAGACATACCTGATGTCCTTATTATGGATGCAACTGTGAGACGGCTTAGATTAGGATGGACCATGTGGTCCACCGAAGTTGCTCTTATGTCATCCGAAATAATGGTCCTTGTGTGGCCTCTTCGACCACGTCCTCCCCTCTGTCTCGGTCTTCCTCGTCCTCTGCCTCTAGCTCTCTGCCTCCACGCTTGCAAAGTTCTCTAAACGTGTTACTGCAACTGGGGCCTTTTTGTAGCTGTTTGGTGCTCAGTGTGTAAGTAAGTGTTTTCAGGTGTGTGTCGAAGTCTTTTCAATTAACCAATGTGTGTTGTATTTTGAATAGATGTGTTTTCCCAACGGTACCCTGAGATTCAATTTTTGAACTAAGTGTCTTATATATGAAATAGTTTGTAGTGTGTAGGAGCAAGTATGTTGCAAAAAGGAGCAAGTGTGTTACAGACATGCAACTAAAGTGCAAAGCAGCGCTTTTGTTTAAGGTATAGTTACACTTTGTTTAAGGTATAGTTACACTTTGTTTAAGGTATAGTTACAACAACTTCAAGTTATGTTACTTTTGTTTAAGCCTGTGTCCATAGTGTTCAAGCAACGGGCAAAAACTGTAATACCAACACTTTACAAGTACCATGAGTACCATGCTCCAGTCACAGTACTGATTCAATTCAATTCATTTTATTTTGTGTAGTTGCAAATTACAGATGTGCCTCAGAGGTCTTTACAGTCTGTACACATGCGACATCTTCTGTCGCAGAAGATGAGAACGTCAGAGGATCCGTCTCCTGATGGACAGACTACAATGACGTCATGAGGACAGAATGAACAACGTAAAATATTTACAACACATTCAGTTCATATGACAGATGATTAAAATAATTGTGTACGACAGGACCACTGCAGGGACAACCACCATCACATAGAACCACCGTCACATAGAACCACCGTCACATAGAACCACCATCACATAGAACCTCCATCAGGTAGAATCTCCATCAGGTAGAACCACCATCAGATAGAACTACCATCACATAGAACCACCATCAGATAGTACCACCATCACATAGAACCACCATCACATAGAACCTCCATCAGGTAGAACCACCATTACATAGAACCACCATCACATAGAACCTCCATCAGGTAGAACCACCATCAGATAGAACTACCATCACATAGAACCACCATCACATAGAACCACCATCCACAGAAGCCTGTGGGAAGGGAGAGCACAAAGACTGTAGGGGAGGGTAATGTTGGTTTATGATGACAGCAATAGTAATATGATTAATATTTAAAATAATAATAATGATGATGGCAGCAGCAGGTCAGCGGAGCCAGGCAGGTGTCAGGACCAGGGTCCAGACAGAACTACAATCTATGGAGACTTGGAGTGCTATGGAGAAAGCACTAAAAACGCATGATGTGCAAAAAATAAAATGTGGATTATGGTAGAACGAGAGCGTGAGAGAGGAGCTCGGTGTGTCCTAAGAATACCGCCCGGCAGTCTAAGCCTATAGCAGCTTAACTAAGGGCTGGTCCGGGCTGACCTGAGCCAGCCCTAACTATAGGCAGAATCAAAGAGGAACGTTTTAAGTTTTACTTTAAAAGAGCTGACAGAATCTGCCCCCCGGACTGAAAGTGGAACCTGGTTCCACAAAAGAGGAGCTTGATAACTGAAGGCTCTGGCCCCCAGCCTACTGTTTAAAACCATAGGAACAACAAGTAACCAGCATCTATGGAGCGCTGCTCCTTGTAGGGCAATAAGGTGTTACAAGCTCTTGAAGATACGACGGTGCCTCACCAGCAAGTGCCTTGTAGGTGAGGAGAAGTACCTTAAAATCTATTCTTGATTTAACAGGGAGCCGGTGCAGAGAAGTTAATACAGGAGTGATATGATCCCTTTTCTTAGTTCTTGTTAATACGCGTGCTGCAGCATTCTGAATCAACTGGAGAGGCTTAAGAGATTTACATTTACTAATACCTCAGTGTCCACGTACTATACTCCAGTCACAGTACTTATACCTCCTGCCATCCTACAGCAGATGGACACAGACTTCAGCATCAAGCAGCTGGTGCAGGACATCAGGAGACAGAGACCCTCCGCTGTCCAGACCAAAGTAGGATCAATATCATTATTCATTGATAATGTTAATTATTATGTTATTATAATATTCATATACAATACAAGTACAAGGACAACAGAGTACAAACTACTCAAAGTACTGATTGACTCATCCACTTTTTGATCGTACAAGGTGCAATATATGTATGTGTACATATGTGTATGTGTATTTGTATATATATATATATATATATATAGAATAGACCGTTAACCACGGTTCCCTTTTGGGGAGGAGCTTAGTCTGATTGACAGGTCTTTACTAGAGACGTATACAACGTTTCTACATCCTCCTTAGTCCATATATGGTTACTTCCTGTTACTAAAAAACTATCGAAAACTACACACTGTGGTGAAGTTACTTCACACTGAGACTCTAATGAGGAGGCGCAACCTTCTTCCAGGAGCAGTACCGCTTCATCTTCACCGCCGCCGCCTGCATGTTGGAACGAGCGCTCCTGTGCAGCCCGTCTGAGGTAAACACCACAGTCTGCCGGAGGAAGTAGACGCAGAGCGCTGCTCAAAGAGGAAGTGATCCGATAGTTCCACTTCCTCTATGCAAATCCAGCGCAGACGGTTTGTAGTCAAAGCTGCTCGACAAGGACTAACGTATGAGACAAGCTGACAGGTAGGATAACCTACACCTACACCACCACCACAGGGAGAACCTACACCTATACTACCACATGCAGAACCTACATCTACCTCTTCACCATAGGGGAGAACTTACCCCACCACCACCACAGGGAGAACCAACACCTACACCACCACCACAGGGAGAACCTACACCTACACCACCACAGGCAGAACCTACACACACACCACCACCACAGGGAGAACTTACACCAAGGACTAACGTAGGAGACAAGCTGACGGGTAGGATAACCTACACCACCACAGGGAGAACCTACACCTACACCACCACCACCGTACAGGCAGAACCTACACCTACACCACCACCACAGGGAGAACCTACACCAAGGACTAACGTAGGAGACAAGCTGACGGGTAGGATAACCTACACCTACACCACCACAGGCAGAACCTACACCTACACCACCACCACAGGGAGAACCTACACACACACCACCACCACAGGGAGAACTTACACCAAGGACTAACGTAGGAGACAAGCTGACGGGTAGGATAACCTACACCTACACCACCGTACAGGCAGAACCTACACACACCACCACCACAAGGAGAACATACACCACCACCTCATGCAGAACCTACACCAATACCACCGCCACAGGCAGAACCTACACCCACACCAGTACAGAGAGAACCTCCTGGAGACGACCTGATTAATTTAGATCAGATTCATGAAGTAAATGTTGTAACCTTGTTACAATTGAGATTTTCTAATATTTGTAAAGTCACAAAGTTCTTTTTGTGTTACCAGGTGAAAACTGAGCAGAAACCCACAAAAACGTCTTCCTCCAAAAGGTGTCTGCCTGCCTCTCTGTCTCACCCTCCTTTTCCATCCCTCCATCCTCATATGCTACCTAGTTACCATGGAAACAGAATAGAGGCAAGGACACGCAGACGCAAGAGTCCCTTGCGTGTCTCTTGCGTGTCTTTTCACACCTCCTTGTGTGCGTCGACCCATTTTTCTAGACTAGCGTGTAAAGCGACGCAGCCTCCTGCAGCACCCGGCTGTGATTGGTCTCTGACTACGTCCTTTACGGAGTCTCACGTCTCCGTTTTCACAGCACAATACGGCCGTTAATAAAAGGAAGAACGTTTACGCTCTGCAACACACGCGAGACTTTACAACCAGGAAGTGAAACCAGTGCGTTGACGCGTAAAGACGCAGAAACACGCGGCGGCCTTCAGAGATGGTTGTGATGATGATGATGGTGATATTAGAAAACAAACTTGTATCACCACTTTATCTCCTGTGACCATTCAGCCCCCTTGGATACTGTCAGTGTAACCATGGCCGGAGCATTTATCAAAACTCATATAAAGGTCAATGGAGTTTTGAATGAATTCGTCATCATAAGATTAAGATGTAACGTTATTTAACTGCACGTATTTATTTTCTCTTGAGTTTCACGTGTTTAATATTGAATGGTTGAACTACCTCCTCTGTTAATCAAAAAATACTTTTAATCCAAAGTTAAAGATATTTTGGTTTTATTTACAGTTGTGTGATATTTCTGATGATACTTTTATGTTTTATGTATTTAATATTCACACAAATATAGATTTGATCCAATATTTTTCTTCCGTCATATTTTCAGGGACTCACCGCCGACTGCCATGAACGACACGTACGCTGTGGTCAACAAGCCCAAAAAGCCCCTCCCACCTCCAGCTGACCCTGCCTACTCCACCGTGGCCCCGCCCAAATTCAGCAGGTAAAAACACCTTGAGGACCAAGTGGCACAAAACGCCACCAGTAATTATACATTTAAATGTCTTAAGTGGAAATATAGTTAACTTTAAAACAAAGAACAAATTAGACGCAGAGTCTATTTAGTTTTTTTAATACCAAGTAATTGTAATTGTAAGCAAGCTCGTAAACAAAAACATATTGACCTGTAAAAGTTATTAGTCAACATTAACACACATTATTATTTTATAATCATTATCTCAGCATTTGGATGATGATGATGCTAATGGTGTTGATAATGAGATGATGATGGTGATTATGATTGTAAGGGTGATGTTGATGGCGGTGATGACGATGGTGATGATGATGATGACGATAGTGGTAGTGGTGAAGATGATGATGTTGGTGATGATTATGAAGGTGATAATGATGAAGGCGATGATGGTGATGATGATGGTGGTTATGGTGATGGTGTTGATGATGATGATGCTGTTGTTGATGATGGTGATGATGATGGTGGTTATGGTGATGGTGTTGATGATGATGATGGTGTTGTTGATGATGATGATGATGATTGACTCTCAGGACGCTGCCGTTGTCCCATCACTATGACAACGACCCCGCCGGAGCGTCGGTGGCTCCTGTGTACAGCGTTGTCAGACCTCGAGTTAAACCCCCCTTAGCCGCGCCTCTCTGTGACGACGAGTGTCACCTGAGTCCAGGTAGGAGGCGGAGAGAAGGATGGATGTTGGGCCGAGGTGAGAGACGAATAATACTGTTCTCTTTCTTCTCAACTAAAGGTTCATCACGAACCGACAACGACTATGAGGACCTCTCCCCTACGGCCGCCGACGTCATCGGATTACCTGGTGGCATGGGTGAGTACACCTGTCTCCTAAAGGGACACGCCGCCCTTTTGGACTCAACATTAACCGTTGAAAATTAAACTACAGTCCATCCGGAAAGTGTTCACCGCGCTTCACGTTTTCCACATTTTGTCATGTTACAGCCTTATTCCAAAATGGATTAAATTCATTATTTTCCTCAACATTCTACACACAACAACCCATAATGACAAAGTGAAAACTGTTTTTTGCAAATTTTTGCAAATCTGTTAAAATAAAGAACAAAAACATAACATGTACATAAGTATTCACAGCCTTTGCCGTGACACTCAACATTTAGCTCAGGTTCTTCCTGTTTCCACTGATCATCCTTCAGATGTTTCTACAACTTGATTGGAGTCCATCTGTGCTAAATTCAGTTGATTGGACATGATTGAGAAAGGCACACACCTGTCTATATAAGGTATCACAGCTGACATATCAGAGCATAAACCAAGCCATGAAGTCCAAGGAATTATCTGTAGACCTCCGAGACAGAATTGTATCGAGGCACAGATCTGGCGAAGGGTACAGAAAGATTTCTGCAGCATTGAAAGTCCCAATGAGCACAGTGGCCTCCATCATCTGGAAAAGGAGGAAGTTTGCAACCACCAGGACTCTTCCTAGAGTCGGCCGCCCAGCCAGACTGAGCGATCGGGGGAGAAGGGCCTTAGTCAGGGAGGTGACCAGGAACCCGATGGTCACTCTGACAGAGCTCCAGCGTTGTTCTATGAAGATACGAGAACCTTCCAGAAGGACAACCATCTTGGCAGCACTCCACAAATCAGGCCTGTTTGGTAGAGAGGCCAGACGGAAGCCATCCTCAGTAAAAAGCACAGGACAACCCGCCTGGAGGACTCTCAGACCATGAGAAACAAGTCTCTGGTCTGATGAAACAAAGATTGAACTCTTTGGCCTGAATGCCAAGCGTCATGTCTGGAGGAAACCAGGCGCTGCTCATCATCTGGTCAATACCATCCCTACAGTGAAGCATGGTGGTGGCAGCATCATGCTGTGGGGATGTTTTTCAGCGGGAGGAACTGGGAGACTCGTCAGGATTGAGGGAAAGATGAACGCAGCAATGTACAGAGACATCCTGGATGAAAACATGCTCCAAAGCGCTCTGGACCACAGGCTGGGGCGACTGTTCATCTTCCAACAGGACAACGACCCGAAGCACAAAGCCAAGATAACAAAGTGGCTTCGGGACTCTGTGAATGTCCTTGAGTGGTCCAGCCAGAGCCCTGACCTGAACCACATTGAACATCTCTGGAGAGATCTGAAAATGGCTGCATCGACGCTCCCCATCCAACCTGATGGAACTTGAGAGGTTCTGCAAAGAAGAATGGGAGAACCTGCACAGAAACAGGTGTGCCACGCTGGTGGAATCACACCCAAGAAGACTTGAGGCTGTAATCGCTGCCAAAGGTGCTTCAACAAAGTATTGAGCAAAGGCTGTGAATACTTATGTACATGTGATGTTATCGTTCTTTATTTTTAACAGATTTGCAAAAATTTGCAAAAAACAGTTTTCACGTTGTCATTATGGGTTGTTGTGTGTAGAATGTTGAGGAAAATAATGAATTTAATCCATTTTGGAATAAGGCTGTAACATAACAAAATGTGGAAAAAGTGAAGCGCTGTGAAAACTGTCCGGATGGACTGTATATCATCTGAACCGCGAGACGAGAGCTAGCTAACTTTAGCTGCCAGCTACCAGCTGCTAGCTACTAGCTAGTAGCTAGTAAGTCATACTATATGGTGAATAAGAGCAAAGCTATTTGTAACCACTGCAAACCAGAAGTATCTCATCACCAGAGCACTGAGAGCCTGACGGTTTTTGAGAAAATATCAGTTTCATAGTTTTGAGAAGTGTACCAGCCTACTTATATGTTGAAAGTAGCTATTTTTCAATATCAATATATTGGAGAAGGGTTTACCCTCAAAAGGTCAGTTTGGGTCCAGATGATGCAATATCCTGTTAACTGCTCTGCACTTATAAAACAAATAAAAGTCTTATATTCACGGCCGGCCTAACATCTGAGAAGATGCAAATATGCGGAAAGGTTTTTGAAACATCTGCTATGTAAAAATATGTTTATTTGATTATTTTCATCCAAAAAAGTATTTTATTTCTAATTTATTAATAATTAAATTCCTTTCTTAATGTGTGTGTGTGTGTGTGTGTGTGTGTGTGTGTGTGTGTGTGTGTGTGTGTGTTGCAGGGTTTAATTGTCGTATTCAGAAGCCAAAAGGACCCAGAGACCCTCCAGCTGAGTGGAGCCGACTGGAGAGATGAACTGGTTATTACTATTAGATGAACTGGTCATTATTATCAGATGAACCTGTCTGACAGGTAATATACGGGATGTATTAAATATTATTATCATTAGTTTGACAGTTTATCAGACGTAGTAAGTAAAGACTATTTCTGTTTTATATATTCAGCGCCTAAAGAACGAAGCCAATAGAAAGTGATGACAAAGATATTTACATGAGAAAATAGTCCAGACTGTGACGAGTTAATGACAGGAAAACAACCCAACAGTGATGACATCACTCTGACATCATCAGCTGTGAGTCAGGAACTTTGATTATACACACAGGAAGAAGGTGGTTTCAATTAAGCCTTTGGCATGAAGATCATGAAGGTGTGTGTGTGTGTGTGTGTGTGTGTGTGTGTGAGATCATCAGTATACAACAGATATTAGGACTGATTAACACACAACCTGCTGTGTTTTCATTGCGTGTTAAACTCCTTTGCAACCCCGGGACCCTCCTGTACTCCCATGATGTCACACACGTACACACTCACCTACACACAGGCTCACACAGACACACAAACATACAGAGAGACACACACAGTGGTTTAGAACCCTGAACCACTAAGTGCGACTCTCCCTGTCACACAGGTTTGTGTCGGTTAAACAGCACAGACGTGGTGACGAAACACGGAGAGAGTGTGTGTGTGTGTATGTGTGTGAGTGTGTGTGTCTCAGTCTGTGTGTGAGTGTTTTTTTGTCTATTTGTTACTTACTTCAAACATAATCTCCATTTATAGCAACGTGTTTTCTTGCTGCCTCTGACATGGATGTTTTCTTCTTTCTCTAACAACTGAGGCGCAGTAAAGAATTGAAGTAGTTTTTAGTTTTAACAAAGTCATCCCTCATTTTATTAACCTTTGTGTGTGTTCACTGTGAGAGCCTCTGTGTTGCATTTCTTGTTTGTACTTGACAAGCAGTAATATTCACACTTCTGTCATTGTTTGCATGCATTGTAATGCATCAATATTGTTTAGCATTTTAAACTTGGATATATCTTCTGTTTTTAATTGTATTTCGTAACATCTGCCACTTGGGGCTAGAGATGAAAAATGTGGCACATTTACATTAATGTTTTTATTAATGTGCCTTTTCCCTTATCAAATAAATAAATACTGTCATATCTATTTTATCTCCATCTCATATCATCTTATCTTTATTTAATCTCCTTCTACTTTATTACATTACATTACAGGTCATTTAGCAGACGCTTTTATCCGAAGCGACTTACATTACACTTTAAACCCATGGCTTTTTCACATTTTTGCCCGGGGAGCAATTAGGGGTTAGGTGTCTTGCTCAGGGACACTTCAACATGAAACATGGGGCAGTCTGGAATCGAACCACCAACCTTGTGCTTCCAAGCACACCTTCTCTAACCCCTGCGCCACAACGACCAACTTCCAAGACACTCGCTCTGATCATTTAGTTTAATCACTGAAACGGACTCTCCTCCATAGTCTCCAGCATGAAGACCTCCTTTGCCCTTGACCCCCTCCCCTCTTCCTCAGTGAAGGCCTGCCTGCCCTCACTCTCCCCCTCATCACTAACATCATCAACTCCTGCCTGTCCTCTGGTCTCATGCCCCCCCGACCCCATTTACATCCCTCCCCTTGGACAAATTATCCGTCGTCATGGTCTTGATTTCCACTGGCAGGCTGACGACACCCAACTCTACTTCTCCTCTAAGGCCTCAGTCACAGTGGCGGCCGATGGATTTTTTTTTCAGTTCAGTTTCAGTAAACATGTATGATTCAATGCAAAACAGGGTATCAAACACGCATTATTACTTTGCAGTTAAATATTTAACATTTATTCCAACACTTCTTGTTGGTCTTCTTGAAGAACACTGCCGGTCCACCGCTCTTATGTTGTTAAACAGTGTCAGAGACTCGTCCTGACGAGAGCGCAGCGAAGGGCTCAAATCTCAATGTATTTTAAGACGCTGAAATTATAATGTCACTCATTAACTTTATCAGTGATTGGCTAACTGCTCCTTAGACCGAGCCCAGCTGAGACATATGGAGAGGACACGCAGGAAAAGCATATATTTTGCACAGATATCTTAATTTACAAATATTACGGGTATATAATCCACGTCTCAAAAACACAGACATTGACTATTTGTAAAATGTATTTTTCCTATAATAAACAACAAAAATTGATAAACCTTTTAAAAAACATTTTTTAGTGGTTAATCATGGTGGGGCCACGACCCGTTGCCCTCTGTGGACCAGCCGCCACGGCTTAGTCACCTGCTCAACTCTCACTGCCTGACTCACTGACATAAAATCATGGACACAACAGAACTTTCTCAAACTCAACTGCAATAAGTCTGATGAAGAGTACTTAAGTCTGCAATTAGTACTCTTCATCAAGTAACTACTGACTCCCTCTTTCAGCCGCTCATCCCAGACCTTCTCTCGCAACACGATGGCTCCATTGTCACTCCTTCCACATCCGCCAGGCTCCCACCCTATCACCATCCAAACAAGCCCTCACAACCCACCTCAAACTCTCCTTCTCCTGCTACCCCTGGCCCCCCACCCTGCACTACATGACTCACTCCGTACAGCTTCTCCAGTTTATTCTGTTTTTTGTCTAAAAAAAACTAAAGCTCTATCTCATTGCTATTTCATCTCATTGCTATCTTATTTCCATCTCATCAGTCTCATCTCATCCATGTCTCATCTCTATCTCGTCTCATCTTACCTCATTCATGTCTCATCTCAGCCTCATCCCATCCATGTCTCATCTCCATCTCATCTGTCTCATCTCATCCATGTCTCATCTCTCTCATTTCACCCATGTCTCATCTCTATCCCATCTCACCCATGTCTCCTCTCATCGATGTATCATCTCTATCTTGTCTCATCTCTATCTCATCTCACCCATGTCTCATCTCTATCTCATCTGTCTCATCTCATCCATGTCTCATCTCGGGCTCATCCCATCCATGTCTCATCTCTATCTCATATGTCTCATCTCATCCATGTCTCATCTCTATCAAATCTCACCCATGTCTCATCTCATCCATGTGTCATCTCTATCTTGTATCATCTCTGTCTCATCTCATCCGTGTGTCATCTCTGGCTCATCCCATCCATGTCTCATCTCACCCATGTCTCATCTCTATCTCATCTGTCTCATCTCATCCATGTCTCATCTCTCTCATCCCATCCATGTCTCATATCTATCTCATCTGTCTCGTCTCATCCATGTCTCATCTCTATCTTATTTCACCCATGTCTCATGTCTATGTCATCTGTCGCATCTCATCGATGTCTCATCTCTGGCTCATCCCATCCATGTGTCATCTCTATCTCATCTGTCTCATCTCATCCATGTCTCATCTCATCCATGTGTCACCTCTATCTTGTCTCATCTCATCCGTGTCTCATATCTGGCTCATCTCATCCATGTCTCATTTCATCTCAACTCTTTTATTTTACTTTATCTCTGTTCTCATCTATTCTCGTGTTATGTTTCTATGGTTTGGCGTCATGTAAATAAAGAAAATTGAAAATGAAACAAGTCATGAACGGAGAGAGAGAGAGAGAGAGGGAGAGAGATGAAACGACAGAGACGGACTGAGAGCAGAAGACAGTTACAGATTTAAGAGACAGAGTTCTGCCACTGAGCCTTGTTGCTAGGCAACTGAACTGAGCAGCTCCCCTTTGAAGTTTTCCCTCATTGTTTTTTTTTCGAACAATCAGGTCAGAGCGAGGCTCAGCGGTAACCATGGAAACCACCTTGGAAACCAAGCCTGGCGGCTGTCCCGTCGTCGAGCAGAGAGTGAGAAGGGGAGGGTTGTTTCGCCCTGGTTTCAGGCTCTCAGGCAAACTGTCCTGCCAGGCAGGTGTAAAAACTATAAAGTCTCCTTTGATACATCATGACGTCCATTTAGTGCATTATGGTCAACAATACAACCACTGAACTCTTGAGCAAATATGTAATTTTGTTCAATTTTGTTATTATGTTAACAGTTATTCTACAGCGGTGGATGGAAACAAGACGTCAGTCAGCTTTTATTTTGAAGGTCTCCTGGAAATGTTATTAAAAGTTGAGTTAAACTTGAATATCTTTCTATAAAGTCATCATTGGAATCTGTGGATGGAAAATCACTAAAACAGCTGATGCATTAAATGGATTTATGGATATTCCAACGTTCCAATGTTTAAGTCACATGACTCATATTCTTTATTTGTTCATATTTACATTGTCTTTGTGTCCATACGACTTGAGACGTCCTCTTCTTCTTCTACTCTTAACGGTAGAACACAGTTCCTCTGGGTTTTTCGTGCTTTAAGTCTGTTTGGTTGTAGTTAATAAACTCTCTCACTCCTACACACACACTCACACACACACACACACACACAAAAACACACACACACACACACACACACAAAAACACACGCGCACACAGATGAGTTGGACATAAAACCTCAGCAAAGCAAAAAGTAAATAAAAACAGACACGCGGAATTCCTTCTGTGCTGCGGCTTCAACCTCGTAAACTCCACTCAAGATTTAAATAACAGCTGCACACACACACACACACACACACGCACACACACACACACACACATGCACACAAACGCGCATGCACACAAACACACACACATGCACACAAACGCGCATGCACACAAACACACACATTTGGGGTGATCAGGAATCAGGAATCAGGAAACATTTATTAGCCAAAATATGTCAAACATAAAAGGAATTTGTCTTGGCGGTTAGTGCGCGACAGTAGACAGACAAGACAACAGTGCACAGGTAATAAAATAAAGTGAAATGAAATGCTAATGCAATGGGTTAGTAAGAATAAGGCTATGGGTTAGTATAAAACAAGGGATGTAGTGGTGTAGGGGGGTTGGGGGGGGTCGGGGGGGCATTGTGGGTTTGCTGGTGCTCCTCTTGACACTGCGTGTGATCCATGTTCTACAGCTGTTGCATTGAGCGGCTTGTAGGAGTCAGCAGACGTCTCCCTGACCACAGACGGCAGCACAGACCAGTGATGTTCTCACTGCCTCTGTGGATTTGTTTAGAATGAAAAGTTTTATTATTATTGATACACAGTTGCCTTTAAAACTGCAGTTGTTCTAACTTCCTTTAAATGGTCACAATAAAAGCTTGTTGTGTGATCGTCATTCATTGAGGAGATGCAGAAGAAGAGGACATTTAGGCCTCCTTGTCTCCTGAGGCTTTTATTTTGTAATTTCACATTTCCTGTGGTCCATCGGAGGCGAGAGGAGAGGAGGGGAGAGGGTTAGGCCCCTCAAGTGGCTTCAATTAAGTAAATTACAGAGAGCGAAGCGGAGACAGAAACCGGCAGAAGCAGAACTGTCAGACTCTGAGTTGATTACAGGGTGAACCTTCAGAACCTCAGAGCTCCAGTCTAAACCTGGACCTGAACCCGGCCCACAGTTATTTCAGGCTGCTGGAAACACTGAGTCTGCTGCCTCGAGGCCCAGCAGGTCTGATGGGTTCTGTAGAAGTAGAACAGAAGGCAAAGACAGGAGCAGCTTCATTGGGCGTATTAAACTAGGACATAAAACGTGGTGCCGGTTGTGTTGAGGTGAGAGGAGGCAGGGATTCATCTTATAGCCCAAAGTCACTAACAGGGTCCCTTTTTACTGTCCTCTCTCTTCTCAGCCAATCCATCGCATTTGATTCTGGAAACAAATTAAAGTTGAAAGCACATTTTTTTTAACCATTAATTGTAACAACCAACAGTTGTTTTACACTCACTATTATCTCACTATTTATCACTATAGCCTCACTATTACCACAGTATTACCACACTACATCTTCACGGCATGTTCTTCAGCTATCTGGACTATCGTGTAAGGAATGTATTGTGTACTTTATGTACTGTGTACGTGACTTAATGTGTACTTTGTGTAATGTGTACCACCTGACAACGTGACGTTCCACTGAGCGCTTTTGGGGACATAATCTCCCAAGCCGGCCACGACCAGGTTCTCCTCACAAGATTTCTGACAGAGCAGTAAAAACAATTGTGAGAAGAGTTGTCCAAGAGCTGAGGACCACCTGTGGAGAGCTTCAGAAAGACCTGGACATCGCAGGTGAGTAATTCGCGGCCCCACAGTGTGCACATTTGGACAAG